GGAATTTCATTCATCTGAATGAAATTGCTATACAAAAATAATGATCGCAATGAACAGAACTAATGAGCAAACATACTAAATTCAGTTTGGATGAATCAAAAATTGTTTCAAATTTTGGGGGAGTCACAGTCTAAACCACTTTAACAAGTTGACACCCTCAGGACTAAAGTTCTGGCTCTCTAATAAACATCTTAACTTTATATGTTGATCCCAAAAGTTGGGTCCTATGTTCACAGGACAAATTCCCATAATAATTTCATTGGTTATTTACAGTGAATGACTATCTAAAATTGTGTCTATCCACTTTTCCATGCTTCTCTCCTCAAACTGTGGGTGGCTGGTTGTGATTTGCCTCTTCTACTTTTTTAGGAGATGGACTTGAAGAATGGGAGGTACAAACGATTCTAGATTCCTGTTAGGAAAAGGGCACCTTTGAAAATTCCATACAATTAGAGTGAGCACTGGGTACACTCTTGGGAGGCAAAATGTATTTCAATACCCGTTTACTAGATGTTATCCTCACCATTCATCAGGTCTATCATAGACTTCTGCTAATGCACCATTTACCTAAGATGAAGAAGAAAAACTACCACAAGAAGACAACATAGTCTTAAATTAGAGGGGCAAAGGTTTAAAAATAATATCAGGAAGTATTACTTTACTGAGAGGGTAGTGGATGCATGGAATAGCCTTCCAGCTGAAGTGGTAGAGGTTAACACAGTAAAAGGAGTTTAAGCATGCGTGGGATAGGCATAAGGCTATCCTAACTATAAGATAAGGCCAGGGACTAATGAAAGTATTTAGAAAATTGGGCAGAGTAGATGGGCCGAATGGTTCTTATCTGCCGTCACATTCTATGTTTCTATGTTTCTATGTTTCCTCCTTTCCTACCACCAATCTTACGCTTGTGGCATTCTATGACCCCCATGGCATTAAAATGAGCTGCTATGCAACCTCCTCAACTGACACACATTGTCATTCTATACACTGAATTAAAACAACTGATTCAAGGAGTATTAACCTAATTGGATTCCACAGCAATGATGCACAAAAAAGGTGAGTTTTTTGTATTGGTGGGAATAATAAACGCCAAAGGGTGCACTCTCCTGTATATTGAGCTCCAAGAAGTGCAAAGAAAATATTCCACCAACCAGCACTACCATTACAAGTCTAAAGAGCTGGCACAAGACATAAACTGACAACAAGACAAAACTGGTGAACTCAAGGGATATTCACACATATTAGTGTCTAGAATGTAAAAGAATGGTGCAAAAACATCTTGTGAGTAGCATTTTACTGCACAAGACACTTTGTTCATAAGAGATAAATCCATAAATTCTGACCCTGCCATCTGCATGTCACAACAGAACTTGAAGTTCACCGTCCTGTCATCTGGAATCAGTCTGCTCATTTTCCACTGACCTCTCTTATTAACAAAGTGTCTTGTGCAGTAAAATGCTACTCACAAGATGTTTTTGCACCATTCTTTTACATTCTAGACACTAATATGTGTGAATATCCCTTGAGTTCACCAGTTTTTGAAACCACCATGTGGGGTACAAACAATCATTCCATGGTCAGAGTAACATTTTTCACCAATCTGAGTTTTTTTGTGAATAACAAATGACCATGCCTGCATGGTTTTATGCATTGTTTTGCTTACACATGATTGGTTGATTAGTGAATGAACCCCTCCACCTCGGCCCATGTGTATACACAGTTGCCATGGTATGCATTCATACCCCGCAATCATATATACACGATTTGCCTAAATGCAAATAAAATTCATTTAGTGCAAACAAATTTTGTTTGCAAATTCTGCCTTTTATAACTCCTCAAAGTTACAGCAAAGATGCACTTGCAGCTGCAATGCTGTGAACATCATAGAGCTGAAAACAGACTGAATGTGTTCAGCTCTCTGTAGCAGCTCTTCTGCTCGGAGCTGCAAGATCTCATGATGGGATGGGAAGTGGAGACAGAGGAGATAGCTGCCTGTCCTTTGCTTTTTTTTCAGTGAGATGGTTATGTTGCTGGGGAGCGGGATAGCTACAGCCTCTCCATTTTATTTTTCTGATTAGGCTGCAGTCCAGTGGGATGGGTCTTTTGTTCCTGGTTCATAATGCTGTGAGGGGGAGAGAACTGCCACAGCTCATTTGCTCTCCCTCCCTGTATTTAGAGGGAGCAGGGTAGCTGCTGTGCAAATCAAAGAAACAGACACCCTTTAGGAGGAGTTGATCAGAGGGTGGCTGAGGCTGATGGGGAGAAAGTACAGTGTTCTATAAATCCTAACAGAAGCCACCAGACACTAGCACACTCACATCATAATGGAGCAAGGAAGCAGCATGTGTTTGAGAGGCTGTCTGATGGCACACCATAGTGTGTGTGTTTCTAACATTGTATGTGTGTAAGTATTTGTTTGTCTGTCAGCATGTATATGTGTGTATGTATCTTGACAGAGTGTGTTACTGGCAGTGTATGTGTGTATGTAACAGTGTTTGTGTCTGTCAGGATATATATGTGTGCATGTGACTGACAGTGTGTGTTACTGGTAGTGTGTTACAGTGTGTGTCTGTCATCATGTATATGTGTGTATCTGTCTGACAGTGTATTTTGGTATCTGTGTGAGTGTGTGTATATATGTGCACCCCTCCCTGTCACAGGTGCCTCATCCCAGGGCCCTATTTAGCCTTGTACTGCAGAGAGCCCCAGATGGAATTTTTTTCCCCAAGTAAGTGGTTAATCTCATAAAAGCAGACATTAGGCTGTTAGTGCAGGACCTGCCAAAGATGGAGTACATTGACATTGTGGCAGGCTTATGCAATGTCTGATCATATAATGTAACTAAACCTCCATTATTTTTGCCTAGATTAGGTGTTTTTAAAAAAACAAATAAAATCTTCAACATTGAAGTTGCTGTTTAGTGGATAGGTGAGTGCACTTGATCTTGTGTATTGTATTATTTGGCCCCCAGCAGCACCCCCATTTATGCATGTTCAGGTGAGTGCAGCCAACCCCTTCTTGTTTTATATATATATATTCACAAAACTGTTTCCTTGTCTGTAACTTAATTATTTGGTAAACAATTGTTTTAAAAGTTATTCATAAAGATATAAACAAAAAAATACATTTAAACATTACTTCCCAGGACATCCATATTACTCTGGGTTTTTTTTTTGCAAACCGCTTGGTGATGAAAGAGTTAACAAACAGGTGCGTACCTAATAAAATGCCAACTGAGTGTATTTATTATTATTAGTAGTAGTAGTAGTAATAGTAGTATTATTAATTTGTCTAAAATTATGATGGTAAATCTGTCACTGTTGGATATCGTTCAAAATATTACATTAATATTATATAAATTAATTGTGCATGTATATGATTGTTGAAATGTGTAAAATGCAGTAAATTATAGAAATAAGTTTTACAAACTTAAATTAGCTTATTCTATACAACTTTAAGCATTTATAGGTAGTCATATTAATTTTAAGTAAGAAATAAATTAAAGAAAACATCAGGATAATTCTGCCCAAATAGTTTATTGAAAAGAGAAACAGGTACCATAGCTAATACACACACTAATTGACAATACAGTCCAAAAATCACCATTGTTCATATTCAACCAAAATCTTGAACCATTAATTTACGTGGGTAACATTATAACTCTATTGGTGCTCTATGTGTCATTTCACTCTTAGTGAAAAACAGGAAGGCCTTGCTAAAGTAGATACATCTATTCACAAATTCCAAAACAATGAATTACTAAAATGTTACAAAAATCCAACGGCCTATTGCAATTTTGACTCCGAAAAAAAAAAAATCATTGATGATAAGCACCAGTTCAAGGAGCACTCTAGGGTCAGGAGCACAAACATGTTTTCCTGACTCTATAGTGTTAAAAAACCCTTCCCACCCCTCTCTTGACTCCCTAAATATAGTAAAATCTTACTTGTCTGCAAGTCTGCAGCTGCTGCCTCTGCCCCCGATCTGCTTGCTTGGCTGACATAATCAGAAATGATTCTGTGAGTCAATCACATTGCTTTCCCATATGATTGGCTGAGACTGTCAAGGAGGCAGATCGGGGTCAGAGCCAGCACAAGTCAAACACAGCCCTGGCCAATCAGCATCTCCTCATAGAGATGCATTGAATCAATCCATCTCTATGAGGAAAGTTCAGTGTCTGCATGCAGAGGGTGGAAACACTGAATGGCAGTGCTGCTTACTCTGCAGCACTGCCCAAGAAAGCAACCATCTGAGGAGTGGCCAGTGGAGGTATCCCTAAACTGTAATGTAAACACTGCATTTTCTCTGAAAAGATGGGGTTTACCGAAAAAAGCCTAAATTGCATGATTATACTCATTAGAACAAATACAACAAGCTGTAGTTGTTCCGGTGACTATATTGCCCCTTTAAGTTGGATTTATTGTATTGTGGTAATATATTCATATCTTTTAGATTGTTTTAGAGCTTTTAACCCCTTAAGGACCAAACTTCTGGAATAAAAGGGAATCATGACATGTCACACATGTCATGTGTCCTTAAGGGTTAAAGGGTTACTTAACATTGAATCCTTGTTCTATTCACCCATTATATGAAGACGACACTAAAGCCACAACCACTTGAACTATGTACCACTTTCTTATTGCCTTGAGTAGGGCTAAAGAAATACAGATTTTAACCTGGACTACTAGGAGTACTCCTCGATCTTTTTTCAATATCTCATAGTAATTACTCGTGCCCATTACTCTATGACTCATTACAAAAAGTTGAGCAATTTCAAACATAAGCAGAAAGATAACACATGCCCCACGATGTATTGAATTTATCACATACCATTTACCATCTATGAATTACAGACAGGAAAATATGGGTATAAAGGATACAGAAAAGTGAAAGTGGGCATTCCACACGTATTTTCTTTATGGGATTAGTCGATAATTCAGTGAAGATTCCTTCATTTATTTTTTTTCTTCTTGTTTGTTTTTTTATAATATATTATGTCTTCATTTTTCAGTTTTGGTCTCTTTTGATCTCTGGAGCTGGTTCTGAATTACCTCGAGCATTAACTCTAGATAACGCATCATCAACACATTATTATTCATATATAACATATGTATACAAATAATTTAAATGTAATTATTTAAAACAAAACTATTTTTTATAAATTATTTTATAACTGTTTCTTCATGTAAATTAAAGCAATTGGCATTAAGGTAAAATATGAAACGTATGTATTCAATTGGTGTTATGGCCTAAGTTTCATCAAATGTCTAAGCCGCAAAGAGAAAGATTAAAAAAAAAAAACATAAGAAGGAATTCTTAACAAGTCTTATTCCTGTGCGGAATGCAAGACTATAAATATAGTTTATACGTCAGAATTGTGTTCAGAAGGGTTTATTCACGATATAGCAAATTGTTGAAAGTTGTCATCTGAATTGTAACATTTAAACTAAAATAGCTAAAATATATAATTCTCTTCTTTATCTATCACCAAACCACTTTATAGTAAATAAATATCACTATCCACCTACTAATATTGTATATAAAAAATTACCCACTGGTTGCATAGTTTTTCTAAGGAATTGTCAATCCTTATATGTATGTTTAACCCAACCAGGGTTATTAACTAAAGTGAGTATTCCAAGTGAATTTCAAATTGAAGGCCAAAACAGCTGAACTGAAAGCATTTCTGGTTTAGATAATTTTTCCAGTCTGGCTATATCAGCCTTAATTGTTTATATTCTCTTCAATTCACTTTCAATTCTCACTTTAGTGAATAACTCTGTATTTGAACGCCCACAAGTACCTAGTATCCTTATACAGGGATGATATATTAAGCTATGAATAATTGAAGAATAAATTAAAGGAACACTTTAGGGTCAGGAACACAAACATGTATTCCTGACCCTGTAGTGTTAAAACCACCATACAGGTGTCTTGCCCCCCTCTTAGCCCCATTAGAAGGGGTTAAAACATACCTTATTTCCAGGGCCGCCAGGGTCCGCCAGTGCAGGTCTTGCCCCGATCCACCCGTTTTTGGTGACATCAGCAAAATTACAATTCGGCAAGGAAGCAGGATGGGGCGGGATCAAACATTGTTTTGGCCAATCAGTACCTTCTTATAGAAATGCATTGAGTCAATGCATCTCTATTAGAACATTTCTGCATCTCCTTGCAGAGCCTACTGTGCAACACTGCCCCAGGAAGCACCTCCAGTGGCCATCCGAGGAGTGGCCACTGGAGGTGTCCCTAGGGGGCAATGTAAACACTGCCTTTTCTACAGATTCTGTAGCGCTTTACAATATTGGTGATTTTGTCACTGACACTTGGCCAATGAAGGCACACAGAGTCATTGAGGTGGGATAGTATACAAATCAGGCTGTCAGGGTGTTGGCTTGCATTCATGTGACCAGTAGACATGTGCAATTTGTTTCGTTCTGAATGTACATTCGTACCAATTTCATGCCATTTAGACATTCGGAAGTTCCGAAGTGCCAAAGTTCCAACGTTCCAAAGTGCCAAACCAAATGGAACAGAATGCCATTGGTCCATATTGCAGAAGCAGACACATTTTTTTTACTTACCCGAATTTCCAAACCAAGCCGAATGTTTTGCCCATGCACATCCCTATTTAGCACAATTGTATCACTTATTATAAAATTTATAAGTGTAGCTGAACACATGCCTAGATTATGTTAAACTGTGCATGCATGATCATAGTAAATTCACAAGCTTATCAGATGTTTCTTTAATCTCGTTAGTCTTGCAGAACAAAATCCTGACTTCAAAAGCCTGTCCTATTGAAATAGCATTGGATGCATCATAAATGTTTTAACGTAGTAAAAGTATGCTCAAACCTTTTCACTTTGAAATCATACATTTCTGGAGAACAACACACTTTATTGTTACCGTAAAGTTTTAGATCTTTATACAATTTTAATAATATGATTACCATCCTACATAACCCCAAATTCTTCTATAGCTTATTAGACCAACACATTTTAATATTCTTAAAAAGTGTTTACCTTCGGTTACACTGGAGATTTTCTTATCTTGTTCATCAGTGCTACTTAAAGAAACAGTGCTACTGCAAAGACATGATACATAGAGTTAGCACAGGATCTATTTGGAATAAGATCATCTAACAAATCTGGCCATTATTCATGAAATATACATATATATAATCTTAAGTAAAATTCATTAAATATATCTGTATTGTTATAGTATGGCAACATTATTAACATGTATTTAGAGTAATATAACTTGGAAGTTGCCTTGGGAAAAGTCACAGATTGGGCATTTCATGCAAATTAATTTATTTTCCCACGTAGTAAAATTTCACTTGCACCTATATATCTATATTTTGCTTTCTTATACAGCCTGCTAGTGACCCTATAGGGTCGAAACGTTGATTTTGTTGGACATGTATTAGTAAAGGCTCTTTTTAGGAAGTCCAGGCACTCACTCTCCCATCTTGTTCACGCCAACTCATAGCCTTAATACATAACTCCAAGAAAGTGCACTCCAGAGGACTTCAAGGACAACATTTAGTCCATAAACAAGGACTTTTTTCAAGTCTTGAAAAAGTCTTGGTATTTGGACTGAAACATTGACGGTTTGTACATGCGTGGCTTAACACAATAAGGAGCATTATCACATAGTCCTCTGGAGTACACTTTCTTCGAGGTGTATATATATATATATATATGTATATATATATATATATACATATATTTAAATTAAATTGTTGCAAACCATACCTTAAAAACTATTCATAGAACTGTAGTATGCAATAAATCAAATACTTATCTAATAAAGAGTTTATATTTTAGCGTTACAAAATATATATTTTAATTAGCCATCAAGCTTTACAATGTGAAAATGTGTAAGAGATATACCTTTTCATTTTATCTGCTATAGAAAAAGTGACTTTTTCGCTTTTGCCCTTGATATTGTTTCCTTCCAGTAGACGTTTGTATGTTGCGATCTCCATTTCCAAGTGAGTTTTCTGGTCCATAAGTTTTTTGTACTCAGAGTTTTGGCGTTCCAGATCATATCGGATCTCGGACAACTCAGCTTCCATTTGGTCAACCATTTTCTGGATCTGCTGTAGTTGGGAGCTGTAAGTGGCTTCGGTCTCGGCCAAGGAATCTTGCAGAGCTGCGTTCTATTATTGGACAGAAGGTTTTAGTTTTTTAGGGCAGTTCAGAAGGCAAATTTTACAAAAGTTAACTTCCTGTGTATTACACAAACTATCTATAGATCTATTGATTCTGTTCACTCTTTTGAGAAAATCCTTTAACATCAAATGTAGCTAAAATTGTTGAAAGCAATAGGAAGCATCTTCGAGGACACTGAAGTGACCTTCCAAGTAGACTTGTGCATTTGGTTTTTAACAGAATGCTAATTTTGGGCATCTTGATCCCCAAACTCTGAAACGCCAGATGGATGAACCACAAGAAAAACAAAATGAACAATGGATGAAACCGTTTTGCTTGTTTCATGATTTTAAGTCCTGTATGTGATACCAAAAAAGATAATAGATGTTATAAAAAAAAAGATGATTGATCGTTTGTTAAATGAATATAGATAGTTTTCTGTTCCTCGTGTTTCCTCTCTTGGTTACTTCTTCTCAGTTGGGCCCAATTTATAAGCTTTTGAGTGATCAAGTGAAAAAAGGATAAGTTTTGAGTGATCAAAATCTTTACAAATGATATAGATAAATCATCTAAAATGTTTTTCTAATAGATGACAATTACTTCAAAAGTTTGTCCACAAATATTAAATCAAGGACATAGGACTTGATTTATGTACCACATGGCGGGACAAATGCACATGTCCGAATACTGCAATTTACTGCTACATACATATTATTTATATTTTGTAGTACTATGATTGGTCAATTTTTGTATCCTTTAGGTTTGTCTGAATCCTTGTTCCTGAAGCGAAATTCATCTAAACCTAAATGTCACATGGATGAATCACAAATCGCCTGAAACTATTATTTGAATTTATTTTAACAAATCAATTTGGACAAACAAAATTCTCCGCCAACCGTGCACAAGTGTACCTTCTAGTAAGTTAATAAGTACATTTGATACTAAATTCTTCCACACAATTCACACATTTTATTTTCACATCTACTTGAAGCTTACCCTGACATACACAAGGTTTGCGCAAGACAGGGTCTACTTAATGATATTAGAGTACAGTATTGAGGAGATTCAGAAATTAAAAGAACAGGGCATAGGCAGAAAACGTTGAAAATGAAGAGGCTGCATTCTGAAAGTGCAAAAATATCCACAAAATCTCAACCAAGTAGGTAAGTGTCCTGGCAGTGAAACAGGATATGAAACAGAGGGGCCCAACAACACACATATTTGCTGAATGCTTCCCCCCAAATCTTCATATGCCACCCTTCTTGCATGAGAATTTTGTGTATGCCAAGTTTATTAAGGATTAACCTAAAATATGTATGGCACTACTCAAAGTAATATTACTATGCCTGATATTTTTTATTATTATTAATAGCTACATATAATAAATAGTTATTGTTTAATAATATGAGAGCAGAGTACAATACCATGCTTAGCTGACTTTCAAGATCAATTTCCAGGGTCTGTATTTTGCGTTTCAGGTCAATATTAACGGTTTGCACTGATTGGAGTTGCTCGGAAGCAGAGACCACCTGACGATTCAGGTCTTCACTCTGTGAACAAAGGAAGCAAACAATAATCATGATAATCACATGGAGTGGTCATTTTATCATTCTTATTTTTTATTGTAGAAAAGTCTAATTTGTTGAATCATATCATTTGCCATTGTAAATGGACATTTTGTAAATAAACCAGACCCATAAAACATTTCAGGGGTTCTGGAAGACAGAAAATAGGCTGAAGAGGTAAAACACTAAATATAAACAAAATTAGGGAGGGTTATCAAGGCAAAACCATGTGCTATTTTGTGGCAAAGTGCAAAAGAAGGAACAAACATCTGCCACAGTTCTTGGCCAGTCAGGGATCTGGCGGCTCATTTCCATGTGACTGTTATACTTACGGAGAATGCCATCCACATCCTTCTTGCAGGCAGTTGCCCCTACTTTTGGTGATCTCACCAATGCAGGCCGCTGCATGCCAGAACCTTGAAAGGCTGCATCTTCTCAGAAAATACAGATGATGAGAATGTGCGTGCATTGTCACGCTGGCCACTCACACACACGTTCTGGCATCACATGGGAGAAATTAACCTATAGTGGTCTGCTTAATCTATATAATCCCCTTTTTTAGTTCAGTACTATGCCCTTTCCTGGTTTCCATTTGTTTGGTTAATCCGAGGGCAATTATTTCCTGTTCTCCTGTTTATCGCTAACCTGACCTTGGCTTTTCATTGACCTGTCTCCTATCTACTGTACTTGACTTTGGCTAATATTGTCATTTATTCTACATTCTGTTATCCTGTACTGCTCTGTTTTGCATTCAGTCCAGACACTCTATTATATGTGTTTGCTTGAGTTCTGCATGGCAGGACATAGTTATCCATGATAACACCATGTGGTGGAGTTATCGAAGTGTTTTTTTTTTTATTCTTTATTTTTGCTGTACAAATAAGTGTTACAAGCAGGCAAGAGGTGCCCCGAAAGTGTTTTTAAAAAGTCGCCAATGGAATATGCCTGATTGGTCCACTGGTTTCCATGATGATTGTCCCACTTTTAATACTTTAGACCACTTTTTAGAAGAGAACACATAAACTAAAATACATATCCCCCTTTCCTGTTTATTTCTGCATTTTCTAACTTTGCAACCAGTCCATTTCCTGTTTTATCTTGTAAATCTCACCAAACATGCATAAATACTGTATTTGGCTGCATTTATTAACACAAATAATTTAATTATGGCCTGTTCAAAATCTGCTTTGCCTTAACTGTATTATCCAAAGCATATGTCCAAACAATTTTTATTTTTTTTTAAATAATGGAAAATAATACAAATTTATAGTCATGGAAAAATGTGTACTAATGTACATCAAAGTATTAGGCAAACATGAAGAGGATACAAATCATCAGAAACATGCAACAAGTCTGTCCTTATGAATGAGAGTGGGATATGGCAACTAATGCAAATGGACCTAGAACACACAATCCCCTAAGAACTAGCAACTACTCATATTTCAAACTTTTAAAACAATAAAATAAGTCAATATGTTTACCCTTGCAAGGAACATGCTTTCAACTTCTTTGAGGTTCCGTTCCATTAGATTTTCATATTGCTGTCTAATCTCGTCCAATGTTTTGTTGAGATCTCTGGATGGTGCTGCATTTACTTCCACGTTCACTCTCTGTCCCATCTGAGATTTCAGTGCTGTGACTTCCTTAAATCATAATGGTAACAAGAATGAAAAATTTAAAAAAGTTATCTTACAGCTTATCCATATTTTAGGAAAAGATTGAGTTAAAAATTACCTGCTCATGGTTCTTTTTAATTTCCTGGTCCTCTTCTTGCAGATTTTGGACTTGTATCTCCAGGTCATTTGTTTCCATTTTCAACCAAGCCAAGGCTTGCCGTAGACCTTTCACGTCTCTTTCAACACTATCCTTTAGCCTCAGTTCTATGTCATACCTTTTGGAAATGAAAATACTTTGTGAAAATGCACAGGTACTCACACTCTCTGTCAAACACATATTTTCTGGAGTTTTGCATTCACCAACTTACTTGTTCTTAAAATCATCGGCAGCCCATTTGGCATTGTCTACCTCAAGGGAGATACTGCCATTTTTCATTGTGGTTTCAAGAATCTGTAAAACAGTTTGCAAATACATTATTTGATTTGATAGATTGTTACTAAGCTCCATCTTTTTTCACATATAAGACCCTGAAATTTAGATGCACAGTAATTTATTTTTGTGTACTCCAGTTGCATATTATATGTGCTCTCCTTGGTCTAAATATGTTTTCTTCTCTATCTGTTAACTCTATTTCTCATTGGTGCTCCTTTCACAGTAAAATCGTTCGGAGTTGTTGTTTTTTTAAACATGTTTATGATAATATAATACACATTTGGAGTGTTTTGTCTTCTCTCAGCCACACATCAACATTTCATGGGCACTAGATCTACATTATCATAGAACATATTGAAACACTGGCATTCACATACACACACACACACACACACACACACACACACACATACATACACACTCATAAATACATACAGACCACAGATTTATGACTGACTTATTTATTATCACCAACCTGAAATCAGGATTTCCCTGTGATATTACTGTCTGACTCCTGTTATATATAAACACACACACACACACACACACACACGTATTTTTATATAAAAAAGTATGATATACTCACTGGGTTTCTATGATAGAATTATGTTAAGGAAACATATTTTACCTGAGTCTGAAGGTCTTGAATGGTTGAGAGGTATGGTCTTGAGTCAGGGAGTGATCTAGGAGTATTTTTTGTATACCAATCATTGATTTTGTTCTCCAGCTGAGAATTTCCCTGTTCTAGTGATTGAACTTTCTCCATGTAAGTTGCCAGCCTGTCATTCAAAAGTTGCATAGTTTCCTTCTCATTGATATGAAACAAACCATCATGCATACTTCCATGAAGGTCAACAGACCTTTTAAGGTAATTTCCATTTTTATGGGTGCTGTGTACATTTCCCACTCCATATACGTAGCCTATAGAAGTTTGTTTTTCCCCTTTTTGTGTTGATCGCTCATGGGCACTTGGAGACCTGCGTTGTCGTTTGTATTTAGAAAGATGTGGGGTTGCAAAGTATAATGTGCGGAAATCATCTTGTTGGGAGTTGGCCGATCCACCATAATGAGAGTTGTGATAACTTCCTTGATGGCTTCTGTAGAGTCCTACATGAGAAGTATGGCTTCCTTCATGGTTGAATGCATTGGTGACTCCTGACTGGCCTTCAGTGAATCCACTCCGATTTTGACCACCATGACTGTAGCCACTATGATTTGACATATGGCATTCAAATAAAGAAAACTTCTGATTTTTCATGTGAGCCATAGTGTTGCTGGAGAGATTTAGAAATTAGAATGAGAATTTTGATGTTTCTCGTCCATATTCTTCTTTTATATGAAGATCTAAAGTGACGTAGGAACCAGTTATTGTTTAAAGGAATTTTACAGGCATCTATCTCAGTAACTATGTCTTGTCAATCATCTAAAAAAATAGCTTGAACAGTACGTGGTTGGTCATGGTGTTTGAGACATAACGTATATGGAAAGGTGGGGAAGTCTGTATTAAAATTTTATTGCTTTAGCAATTTTACAGGTTTTGGGTTGTGTCAACATCAAAAGACCAATAATTCACGTCTAGCAAAACACATTCTTCCCAGCAGTAGAATTGTTCATTCGGCCATCAGGTAACAGGTCGTTGCATTGCTTAGCTTAACACAACAGTGAATGACATTCATAGCATCAAATCTGAATATAGGTTTAGTGAAGTGATGGGAATCCTAATCAATTACTTTTCATGATAAATAACACAAAATAAATAAGGGAGTAAGAAGTATAAATCAGTAGACTACCCAGACTTGACATATCCAGGGTGTTAATTTGTTCCTCAGAATTACAAATGAGAAAATTAAAGTATATGAAAAGAGACATGTCAGCATCAGAGTTTTCTCCATATTGCTCTTGACTGTGGGGAATGTATGAATTGTGGAAAACGTATGGTACAATGCAATGCGGAATATGGAATGTATGGGGTTTTGTTCAGCTATCAAACCAAAATATGTACAGAGTGTCTATTTCAAGATGATCAATGATGTATTGGTAGGCATGAAACGCGCTAGTAGTGGACTTTCTGCTCTCCCCTGTATGTCCTAGCCACATGTCCACTTTTTTTGAATAAAGCTAATTTTTTTCTTATCTTGGAATTATTATTTTTTTTTTTTTTTTTTTTACTTTTTAATGGAGGATATCCAGGAATCCAGCTAATTTTACTGACAAATCTCTCCCAATATTTGCTTCATGGCTTAATAATATCATCATTATACCACATTGCCTTGTTCTGATTATGTTGGTCTAGTGAACAAAGTCCATTCCTGCTGCACTGACACCGAAGAGTTGGAATTCTATTGAATCGAGTGCCACACACTATTTATTTTATACAACGTGAACTGCGGAACGCTTATTTATTGTGTTTGCAGTAACAAGTACTGTACATGTCTCCTGCTAAAGGCCCCATACAGACATTGTTAGTTGCATTTCATTGCTGAGAATGTTAAGCAGAAACCCTGGTATATGTGGTAGCTCGATAAAGTTCCACAAACACCTTCAGCTCATGTTGAGCTATAAAATAAAAGAAGAAGGTAAAACAGTGGGTTAAAAAAACTTTCAAACAAAGCATGAATGTGTGGACACTCAAATTTCACACATTTAGCCCTGATCCTTGCCTTATGATGAGAAGATGGGTATTGTTTTTATGCCATTTACAGGGTTATTCACTAAAGTTCAAATGGCCTCATACTGAAAGGGGCAAAACCATCCAGTGTGGTAAGTCGGACTGTAAAATTCAGACATTGGTCACATTATTTATCAATGTCCAGATTTAAATGCATGCTCCGAATGACTGTGAATGTGATCTGGATTTCAGTTGCTGCACATTAGCAGCCAGTGGAGAAATAGATAAAAAAGGTGAAAATAAAATAGTGGTGCAAGGCACTTGCTAGCCAGTCACCACACTAGAGTAAAAAAATAAAAATGTAAATACCTATTGGGGTCAATATGACCTCTATATTACCATAAGGGAGGTTAAAAAAACTAATCAGTGCCCCCCACCTGCCATGCTCTGGGTTGGAGCATATCTAATAAACAGAGGTCAACCATTGGCTGCTTACTGTAATAAAAAAAAAATAGTGACTGGGTAGGCCAATGGGAAGGATTTAGCCCCCTATGCCCTCAATATTTATTCTATAACTGGAGGGGAACTAATGTCCCCATGCCAGCCCCCACCTGTAATTAGCCCCCACTCATGGTCCCCCTATATAATAAAAAATAATAAAACACCTGATTTGCAAAAAAACCTCAATAAAAAAATAGAAAATCGAACACACCTGCTATAGATGGGGATATCAAGTTCTCCCGGTTATATATTAATAGCCCTCACCAGCTGCTAACATGTCAGTGTTGGGGTGGGGACACTTCATATACGTAGCCTATAGAAGTTTGTTTTTCCCCTTTTTGTGTTGATCGCTCATGGGCACTGGGAGACCTGCGTTGTCGTTTGTATTTAGAAAGATTTGGGGTAAAAAGTATATTGTGCGGAAAAAATCTTGTTGGGAGTTGGGTGATCCACCATAATGAGAGTTGTGATAACTTCCTTGATGGCTTGACCCTTATGTGTGGCCTTATGGACTGAACTAAATCCCCCCACCCCCCGCCTTTCCTGCCACACCCATATTTTTGGACACTTTTGGAATCATAAACTTACTTGAAAATCATTGTGTCCCAGTTTAGTATCCAAGTGATAACACTCTGCTTATATAGAGAAGTGAGACGCTACTTCAAATGCCAAAAGTAACTCAAATTAATTTGGATACATTTGCCAAACACTGAACTGGAGTGATTTGATATATGAATTGTAAAATACAAGGCCAAAATCTCTGGATGAAGTGGTCAAAAGCTATAGGGGAATCTACACCCTGTTCCAAATTATTATGCAAATTCTATATACGTGCCACAAAGATTAAATATTTTATTTTTCAGTTTAACTCATGGATGGCATTGTTTCTCAGGGCTCTTTTGATCACTGAAAACAATCTCCGACACCTGTGATAATTAGATTGCCAGGTGAGCCCAATTTAAGGAAAAACTACTAAAAGAGGGTGTTCCACATTATTAAGCAGAGCATCATTTTCATGCAATATGGGGAAGAAAAAGGATCTCTCTGCTGCCGAAAAGAGTGAAATAGTTCAATGCCTTGGACAAGGTATGAAAACATTAGATATTTCACGAAAACGTAAGCGTGATTATCGCACTATTAAGAGATTTGTGGCTGATTCAGAGCACAGACGGGTTTGTGCAGATAAAGGCACATTGAGGAAGATTTCTGCCAGATCCATGCATCGGATCAAGAGAGCAGCTGCCATTACATAGCAGCAAACAGATATTTGAAGCTGCTGGTGCCTCTGGAGTCATACGGACATCAAGGGGTAGAGTCCTCCAGAGTCTTGCAACTGTGCATAAACCTTCTATTCAGCCACCACTTACCAATGCTCACAAGCAGAAATGGCTGCATTGGGCAGAAAAAAAATGACGACTAATTTTCAAACAGTACTGTTCACTGATGAGTGCCGTGCAACCCTGGATGGTCCAGATGGATGGAGTAGTTGATGGTAGGTGGACGGCTACCCTGTTCCAACAAGGCTGCGACGTCAGCAAGGCAGTGGTGAAGTCATGTTTAATGCTGGAATCATGGGAAGAGAGCTGGTCGGCCCCTTTAGGGTCCCCAAAGGTGTAAAGATGACCTCTGCAAAGTATGTGGAGTTTCTTACTGACCCCTTTCTTCCCTGGTACAGAAGGAAGAACTATGCTTTCCGTAATAAAATAATCTTCATGCATGACAATGCACCATCTCATGCTGCAAAGAATACCTCTGCATCAATGGCTGCTATGGGGATAAAAGGAGAGAAAGTCATGGTGTGGCCTCCATCCTCCCCTGACTTCAATCTTATTGAGAACCTTTGGAGCATCCTCAAGCAAAAGATCTATGAGGGTGGGAGGCAGTTTACATCCAAACAGCAGCTCTGGGAGGCTATTGTGACATCTTGCAAACAAATTCAAGCAGAAATTGTCCAAAAGCTCACAAGTTCAATAGTTGCAAGACTTGTGAAGCTGCTATCAAATAAGGGATCCTATGTTAAAATGTAATGTGACCTGTTAAAATGTTTAAAAAGTTAAAATGTTGTTATATGTTTGATTGAAATAGCTTTTGATTTCAGTAAATATGCTACAAACACATAAATTACCATTTTCAGTTCTTTACAACCTATAAAGTGTTTTGAAACTTAACTGTGCGTAATAATTTGGAACAGTGCATTGTAAGTTTTTTATGTTTAAAAAAAATACTGTTATCATTAGGAGGTTTGTTCAATAAAATTTGAATTGTACTCTTAAAAGTTGATGACATGAGAATTATGCTGACTGTTATTTACATTAATTATTTAGGTAAAAGAGAAAAATATAATTTGCATAATAATTTGGAACAGGATGTATAGTTCTTAAATAGTGAAAGTATTTTCTGAACTATAGGTTTCATTTAAATCAACAGACCCTCAATTCAGGCTTCCCATTACAGTGCCAAATTCCCCTTAATCAATTAAAGAGGATATCATGGGAAAAGTATGACAATAATGGAATAAGTGGATGAACACTCTCTCTCGGGAGGTTTTAGAACTTTAGTTATGTGAATGGGAGGGTGCAAAGTTTGGGAAGTTCTTTCACATCTCTACTAGGCAGTCATTTAAAGCCAAACTTTGCACTGAATGAAATGATAACTTAGAGTATGAATCATGAGTCTAATGCTTAATGTCTCTGCCTATTAAATTAATCTATTTCCATTTTAGGTTTAGTTGATTTGTTAATATATGTGATGGACCGCCTGGCAACCTGAGCGGGTACCTCCGTCAATAGCTGCTTCCTAGTACTAACGAGTACCATAAGCACTGCGCTGGAACACTATAACTACTGCAAACCACAAAAACCGCTGCAGCTTGGTTGGGATCTCGCCGTCTCCTACCCACCCTGGACCTATGACCAGGATCCAGCTTCCAGAGGGTAGACCTCTCTTAGTCCAAAGAGCGTAGCAGGAACAAGCTCTTTCAAGAGCTTAGTGATTATACTCAGGGGAGTATAGTGATTATAGCAATCCCCCAGAGTGTAGGTCTCCAATCCCCCAAACATGAGCCGAAACTTCATGAAGGTGCAAGATGATCCAATCTTTAATGGTTCAGGTTGGCTTTTATAAAATTCTGCAGGCCAGAGGAACACCCCCTGGACCTAATGGGGCACAGGAATACAAAGGACATAAACCAATCAGAACAAACATACAGTCTGTGACACGCCCATGTACAGCACACAATCTCTCCCCTCTGCTTGGGAGATAATTGAGTAAAGTCCTGTAAGTAACTCAATTATCTCCAGGCAGAAAGTACCCCAAAACATAAGATACCCCCCAAAATGTTACTTCTCCGGATAGCCCTGATCTGGGTGAACAACATATCCAAAAATCACCCAGATCAGTGCAGGGGTTCAAAAGCTTCATGGGAGTCTCTTTTTGGCCGGCCAGTCTAGTTCGGTAGTATGCAAACCAACAAACTACTGAACGGAGTCAATAGTCTTACCCGGGAGCTTGTTCCCATCATCTAGACGAATGATCTCATCGAACAGTGCCCTTCTAAGCTAAATAGAAACGAACACAGGCGATTATGGAAGTTCAGCGGTGTTCGGAAGTTTTTGTATCCGATTTCAGTTCCATAAGATTCATGCCCAAACTATGCTGCCTGCGTTCATGCGAACAAGATGGCCACCACCTCGTGGTTGTTCATAGGAATCGCGGCCACCCAGACGAACAATTAGAACACTGGGGTGAGAAACATTCCAAGCTGTTAATAGATGTTAACAAGCTCCAGGGTGGTCTCTGTTCCTGCGGTTGTTCGGTAAACGAACCTTATAGTCTCAATTGCACGAACAGAGCCTGTTTGGAGTATATTAGCCAGTTCTATTGCAGGGGCCATAGTCACAGGGTAGGAGGTTGGCAAACAGGCCCCTCCAATAACTCGTGGTAAACTCACAGAAAAATGGGAGTTTGTCACAATGTAGAAAGCGAAAACCATTAAAACAATGTAAAGAGACAATGTAAAGCAATAGCATGCAGATGAGCTATTAATACATGATGGGGTATTAATACATTAATACATGGTGGGATACATGATGGGGTAACAATTAGACAGCCAAGAGTTTCAGATTTCTCCCTTAAATGAATTGTTGCATATCAAATAAGTTTAATTGCATTTTTATGAAGAAAAAAAAGTGTGAAACTTCAATGATTTTCTCATTGACTGATTTCAAAATGGTCCTGTTTTTCAACAATCCCCAAATTAAAAATCTTAGATATTTTCCCATTCTGCTTCTGGTTGCACAATTTTTCCTATCCCTAAAATAATGAAACTGCTGAGAAAGCTTTCAAAGGAGTGAACGGCAGACTATTGATGTAGTTATGGTATGATATAGTGTGAAAGATAACTGTGTTTCTCGGAGGGATGATATGCATTGTAAGTTAACTTTAGGGGAAAGCCCAGAATGATCTACTCGTAAACCAATACTAGCTCTAGAGAGTCTTGATATTGCAACATAAGTGAAATATTTTAATTTCATGCTGGATCTTTAAAGACTAGTTTAGATTAACTTGATGCTTACACAATTACATAGTACCTGAGGTTGAAACAAGACTCAAGAACATCAAGTTCAACCATTAGAACACATCTTTTTATCCTGTTTGTGTGTGAAAAAAGCAAAAAAATAAATTGAATGCCAATTTTGGCCAGTGTTTGTGAAAAAAACTGAAGCACGAGCCTTATATTTGACTCTGTAACTTTTGTAAAACTACATAAAGCCTCTACATGAGAGGTACTGTTATACTTGGGAGACTTCGCTGAACACAAATATTAGTGTTTCAAAACCATATATCTATAGCTATATATATACTTAGATCATATACATAATATATATATATATATATATATATATATATATATGATCTAAGTATATATTATTTTATTTTACACTGTTTTAACTTTTATTTAACTTTTTACAGGCAGCAGGGGGACTACCTGTTGTCATCCCAGGCACTCCCCTTGCTGGCACTGCTATGGACAGCTATTCCGTCCATCTGACTCTGAGGTTCTCGCAAGGACCTTGCGATCACATGGCCCAGATGGGCTGGATCAGATGCAGGGGAGCTGCCTGGAATGCCAGGCAAGTCCCCCCATCGTGATTCCCAAGTCCCCAAGGACAGCAGAGCACGCCCGCTATTCCTTAAAAGGTTAATATAGGTACAGGAGGTGCTGAGGGCTCTCCTCAAACAAGCTTACATTCTAAGGGAAGCAAACTAATATGACACAAGAGGTAAGAGTAAGATGTATTTCATGTAATTCTAAAATAGGTTTCTAGAAAAGCTTACAATAAAGGCTTAGTTTATTAAATGATGCAGTTGCAGGAGAGAAGTTAGGTTAGTGAGGTGTGGGGAGGGAAAGCTGTTAACAGTTGGAAACACTTGCATATTAGTGAGGATTGGTAGACAGAAGCAGTGCTATGGAGAGATTTGAAAGACAAGTGAGAAGTAGACTGCAATCCTCAAGTAAAATAAATTAGGTCCAGGCACTCATGACAGGTGTATAGTCGCCATTTTGGGCAGTCGGAATCCAGGACAATCACCCCATATCCTAACCCAATAACGCACGGACACTAAGGGATATGGGAAATTTTGTCCACAGCTTTATTAAGCAACAATAATAATAACAATGATAATAATAATATTAACTAAACAAGTAAAACATGGGTCATTGCCCCCCATACTCCGCCCTCGCATCCTATTCCTTCCATTAACATATAAAGGGCAATGACCCCCTATAAATAACACATATATATATATAACATACATCAACATTATCCCAATACCGATGTAAAGTGCCAACCATCCATTAACCACGGCAGGGGTATACCCGGATACCCCTACCCCACCAGGTTCTGAGCCACCGACAGGACTCGAAACCTATCAACCACCGATGACCACCACTTGCTTGTTTTCCATTACGTTCATCCTGGGGAGCCTATTTCCTTTCCTTCAGCTCCCCATCCCGCCATAAGCTCAGACCTTGACCCCTTAAGCCGTCTGAGCTCCACCACCCTGAAGAAATAGTGCCCGCTGCATACCATCCTGCCAACCCAAGTTTAGCAGGTCCCAACCCACCTCCGAGAGATGAACCCCATCCGAGCGGTAGTACCCCGGCAACCCATCTTCCAACTCGCCGTGCCGTACCACCACTCCCCCCACCTTCCTAACAAAGCTTGCCATCAAGCTGTTCACTTTTTTCCTGCACTGATTGATAGCCACCAGATCCCGCGCGTGCCGCCACCGACGCCTTGGGACGATCTCCGACCACACTAACATAACCCCCGGAAGCAGGTCCCTCAGCTTGTTGATGTCCTGCTTCATCCATTTCACCAACCGTCGTTGCGGCGTGAGGCCCAAGTCGTTACCCCCGGCATGAAGGACCACCAGGTCCGGCGTTTTCCCACCCGCAACCATCCTAAACATTGCCCCACAAACCTCCCCCCAGCAAAATCCCCGATACCCAAACCATCGGACTGCCAACTGGTCCTTCGGAAAACCCAGCTGCTGGCCATGCGCTCGAGCTGCGGCCCTCCTCTCGGCCCAGAAGACAAAAGAATGTCCCACAATCCAAGCAACCCGTCCTGGGGAGGAGAAGAAAACAAGTGTGAGGGAAGGCAAAGGGAAACTCCCCCCTTTCATGCCCGCCCGCCCCCTCCCCCCCGTTACCTTCGAGTCTTATATATATATATACACATATAATTATTCCAATAAGCCCAACCGTACATATGAACGGAACCGCACCGACTCCCATCTCCCTATGCGCTTCACGACCTCATCTCCTAGTCCCAACCGTGCGGCCTCCGTGGCCGCCCCAATGCGAAAGGAATGAGTACCAAAACGCCCAGCCTGAAGCCCCAACTTACTTAGTCCCAATCGAAAAACCTTCGTAAACTGGAATCGGGAAAGGGAAGAACCATCGGCATGCACCAACAGAGAACCCCCCACCGCCGGCCTCCGAGCCATGTACTCCGCCACCGTGGCCACCGGGCACAATACTGCGCCCGGCAGGGCCCATAGTGTTACATCCCGACCCACGCCGTGGACATCCGTTTTAGATTTACCCAGATGCACAACCATCTTACCCTCCAAAACACGAACCCCCGAGGCCTGCAAACCCCCGGGCACGACCCTACTGGCACTCACTAGCTCCCCCACGCGGAACGCCCCGAAAAATGCCAAGAGAAAGACCGCTCTGAACAAAGAGACCTCGAACCCGTTGAAACAAATTACAGGCAACATACCCACCAGATCCCCCAACACCCGCACCGACACCGGGCGCCTAGTGTCATGTGACCTGTGGCCCTTCCGATAACCCTTCAACGCCTGCCTAACTAAGGTCTTGGTAAGATCCTCCTTCCCGCGCCACCGGAACCAGAACGCCATTGCCGCCATGGACCTGTCGACCACTGCCGGGGATGCCCCCTTTGCCAGCAATTGACAAGTGTACCACAGAAAAGCGTCCCGTAGCGCACCCCCTTGTAAGACATGATCCAACCCGTCCAATGACCGTTCCCAAGAATCCCAGACCTTACTGTAGGAGGCCCATGTGGCCGGCACCAGCGAAGCCTTCACAAGTCCCCCAAGCAGGATGCTCCCAGCTGCCATATCTCGTCCGGGCAAGCCTCTCCCTCCTTCAATGCCCCTGGCGCCACCGTCCAAAATTGGGACCACTGAAAACGAGACAGAGCGTCAGCCACTTCGTTCAGGTACCCAGGGACATGACGCGCGCGAAAAACAACATTCCGTGACATACACATTAACACAAAGTGCCGCAGCAACCTAACTACCGGCTTAGAGGCAGCCGACTGATTATTCACCGCGTGCACCACCGCCATGTTGTCCAAGAAAAAGACCACTTTTTGGTCACGCAGCCCCTCGCCCCACAGTGCCATCGCGACGACCAACGGGAACAATTCCAGGAAAGCCAGGTTGCGCATGACCGGGCTGGACCCCCATGTCTCCGGCCACCTCTCCGCACACCATCTCCCCCCAAAGTAGGCTCCGAAGCCCACACTACCCGACGCATCCGTGAAGAGCTCCAGCTCCGCCGCCGACTTTCCCTCCTGCCGGAAGAACACCGTCCCGTTGAAATCCTGCAAGAAGGCATCCCATACGCCCAAATCGGCCCTCATGGCCCCCGACACCCGTATGAAGTGGCGTGGGGAACGAACCCCTGCCGTAGCAGCCGCTAGGCTGCGGCTGAAAACTCTCCCCATAGGAATTACCCGGCATGCAAAATTCAGCATCCCGATCAACGACTGCAGTTGTCGCAGTGTAACCTTGCGCGCCACAGCCACCGCAGCCACTGCTCCTCTTAGCCCTTCCAGCTTGTCCCGTGGCAGCCGGCATTCACCCATAACCGAATCTATCTCCAACCCCAGGAAACTAAGGCACGTCGCCGGGCCCTCCGTCTTATCCGCTGCCAGCGGCACCCCGAAGTGGCCCGCCACCCATTCCATAGTCCTAAGCAGTTGCTGGCATGCCGAGGAGGCAGCCGGCCCCACGCAAAGGAAATCGTCCAAGTAGTGCACCACTGAACGGCTCCCCGCCTCCACCCGCACCACCCATTCGAGAAAAGTACTAAATTTCTCGAAGTAGGAGCATGAAATGGAACAGCCCATAGGGAGGCATAAGTCCACGAAATACTTCCCTTCGAAAAAACATCGCAGCAGGTGGTGACAGTCCGGGTGGACCGGCAACAGCCGAAACGCGGCCTCAACATCCACCTTGGCCATAAGCGCCCCACGCCCGGCCCGTTTAACCAGCTCGACCGCCCGGTCGAATGATGCATGCAAGTCCTTATCAATACCGTCGTTCACCGACTCCCCTTTCGGGTAGGAGAGATGGTGAATGAGCCGGAACTTCCCCGGCTCCTTCTTTGGAACCACCCCAAGAGGGGAAACCCGGAGGCGCTCCAATGGGGGTGCCGTGAACGGGCCCTCCATCAGCCCCAGCTTGACCTCCCTGTCCTGTTTTTCACGCACGACACCCGGGAAGTCCGCAACCGATTTCAGGTTGCGCAACCTCCCCGACCCCCCCCCGCTCCCGAAATGGGATAAAGAAACCGCGCCCAAAGCCCGCCCGGAGTACCGAGGCATCAGCCCTATTACCGTAGCGGCTTAGCCACGGCTCCATCGCGTCTAGCCTCACTGGGGTGAAGCCCCGAGGCAGGGGAAGCACCCCCTCCGGCCGCGGCGGCCGCTCCGGCGTTTCCCGCCTTACCTTTTTTGAAACAGCGATTGAGCCCATGAGCACCCCCACAACCGGAGCACTCGTGCTTAAATCGACAAGCGTTTCCCCATTTGCACTGGCCCTCATTGTAGAGCCAGCAGAAGCCCTTTTGTAAAGCGGCCGACGAGGCGGACTGCCCCTTCACGCCGGCCGAGTTTTGAAAGGGCTGCGCCTTCTGCGCCATCATCAGCTTCATCCAGAGAGGCAGATCCATCTGATCCCAACTCATACCTGGATTGGCTGCTAGTCGCTGCCTGAACTGTTTGTCGTACCGCCACCACGCCAGCCCCCCATAGGTACGGTATGCTTCCCAAATGCCGTCCAAGTAGCAAAACAGGGACGAGCACAATCCCGGCGATTTCTCGCCGAGTACGCTGGCCAGCACGCAAAACGCCCTCAACCAGTTACCAAAGGATTTTGGAATCTTACGATACCGCTTCCGTTTTTCCTCCTCTTCCTTCTTCTCATCCTTTTTATCGTCGTCCTTGAGGTCAATAAAGTCCTCAAAGGGGAGCAGGGAGAAGATCTCGCAAAACTCACCTTTCCAGAGCTTCTCCTTCACGTCCTGTTTCAGATGAACTCCCAGCGGGCCCGCAAAGGATACATACGCGTGCTGCCTAGCCGCGTCCGGAATACCCCCGGTCAGTTCCGCCCTGTCGCTCCCAGTCTCCACCGTCTCCAGCGCCACCCCAGCGTCCCCGCCCGAGCTAGGCCCCGCGGAAACCCCACTAGAACCAGTGACCTCAGTCCCCGGAGCCCAGACCCGACCAACGCCGCACCCCATGTCACCCCCCGCCCCCAGTGAGTGGAGTAGTGCTTGAAGTGTGCTAACTAAAGCGCTGGAGTGTAGTGACCCACAGGACTCACCGGCCAAGCCCCCCGACACCAGAGCGGCAGGGGCTGCGTCGTCGATCGCCGATGTCCAGGGAGATCGACTCCCGCCGATGCCTCGCCAACCGGGGAGCCAAACCGGTGCCTTGCCCGTGCAGAGGGGGAATGGCTCCGCGACATGGAAAGAGGAGAAGAGGTCCTGGGTAGGGTGTACTGAGTACTAGCTTCCCCCCCGTCCCGACCCTGGGAGCGCCTGCCCAACGCCAAAGCCTCCCGCTGCGCCCCCTGCGCGCGACACGTGCGGGAGCCCCTAGGACTCCGACTCCTCCTGTCTCCACCCGGTAACCGCCCCCGCCGACCACCCTTGGGGACGCTAGCCCTGCCCTCCACTGAGCTACCTGACGTGGAGCGGCGCTGCCGGGACCTACCCCTCCTCCCCCTGGACTCCAAGTTCCGAACCGGCGAAAGACTACCACTACTACGCCCTGAACTAGACCCCCCCTACTACCCCGCACCCCCAACCCCCCTCCCCAGCTGGCTCCCAGCCTAACGGCACCCGGACCCCCCTCAACCTGACTGGCAAGTGAAGCCCCCCCCAACCCCCAAACCAGACCTAACTGACCCCATCTGAGCAGGCCTAACCCCCGAACCCACGGAGGACCCGTTCCCCCTACCAGATGGGCCCAGCAGCTCCTTACCCCCCCCCCTCCTGGCCTCCTCCTATGGCTCCTTGGCGCCATCCCCCCAGGAGAGACATCCCGGCAGCCGCGACGGCCCGTCCTGACCATCCTTCCGGCGCCAGGCACCGATCCTAGGCCCCAGCCACGCGGGGAGGCGGGCCTCTACCACACGGCTGCCGGGCCTGCTGCCGCCCGCGCCGGAACCTCCAGGGCTGCCAGGGACGTCTTCACCGGGTCCCCCGCCCGGGCTTAGCCGCTCCGGGGGCCTCCTGGCCTGGACTGGTCTCCCCCTGCCGCCGTCCTGGTCCGCCGCCTCCGCCAGGGCCGGGCCCAGCTGGGCCAGCAGCCAGTCAGCACCTTGATGCCTCGCCGCCGACCGGATCCCATCCAGCAGTCGCTCCACGTCGTCCATCGGCCCTGCAGGGAGACAAAAGAAGAAAAAACCCTACCAAGCCAAATCTGTGCCCACAGGAGCAAACACAAACTTAACCAGGTAGTAAATTAGAATGACTCACCTAAAATGGCTGCCCATTTAAATAACCAAACCTACTTACCCATAACTCCACTCCCATGCTTACTTCCTCCTAGGCCCGCCTCCTAACCCCTGTCAAGGCCTTTTTCCGCTTAGCTGCGCCTGGCTACATGGGGCTACAGGATTGCTGCAGGAAGGCAGGTTTATTGAAAAAAACCTTGCCCTGTTAATCACCAGGATTCCTAAGTGTGAGTGTGGTAGCTACCGTTTGTGAGTTACTACAATCATCAAATAGTCAAGGGAGATGATATCGACATTGGCAAGCACTTTATTTGCATCTGGTGTTAGGTAGACTGATGCTTATGGTGGTGACACAGCTGCTATAACTCTGAGGCTGGTTTAGCATAAACAAACCAAAATAGTTAGGCATGAACTGTCTTTCATAAAACCATAATGATTCCTACCAATGATATTATTGTTCAAAATGTATTCTTGAATATTATCCCCTAATCACCATTAAACAATTTTCTAATCACAGATGTTGAGCTATCTCTCTTTTGGTTTCTGTGTTGACCATTTGAACCCTTTTTAAATATAGGTACCACATCTGCCTTTCTCCAGTCCTCTGATATGATTTCTGAAATAAAATAATTCCAAAAGATTAAAAACAGTGTTATGAATATTTCTACACTAAGCCCCCTAAGTACTTGTGGGCAAATACCATCTGGCACTGGGGATTTTTAGAACATCCACCATATTTAATTGCTGACGCTATTATCATATGTACAGCTTTTGTAGCAAGGATTTTCAAATATAAAGCCACAGATTATTCTGAAGAAAAAAACATAGCTAGAATTCCAGCTCTCCTTAGTTAACACACCCAATTTAGATTTCTATGGACAAGAATTTCACTCTTAACCTTTTCAGCATTATTGTACTTTTGCGTGTTGGTCTTGCTCTCTTTGGCTATGGGCTTTCCACTTTCTAGTTTAGCCCATCTTATGTCCCTTATTGTAAACCTGTTGTCATGTTGATATTTGTTAAAGGATGCTATTGACCCATCGGATTTAAATGTTTTTAATGGATTGTTTTTTACTTGACTATTCCGATTACTAAGGCACATTGGTTTTAATTTACTACTTTTATAATTGTTTCCCAATTGTATGTTCATTTATAAAAGTGCGCATTTAAATATTTGGCAATCTAAGGTGCACTGTGTATTTGAAGACTTAGGGTGTTTGATGGAGTTAGAAATAGTTTGGAACGGATGAAAGATTGTCTCTATGATATATTTGAAAGGAAAGTTGGGCTTATTGCTATTATTAAGTTTAGCAAATTAACTAACTGTTAGTTTAACCCCTTAAGGACACATGACATGTGTGACGTGTCATGATTCCCTTTTATTCCAGAAGTTTGGTCCTTAAGGGGTTAAGCAACTAGGAAAAAGGAGAGAGAAAAATCTATGAGACAACAGTAAATTGACATGATGCTTGAGTTTGTCTTTTAAATTTCGTCTTGTTCATATATTTATTATATTTAAGTTGCAAGAACTGTGTTCACCATGTTCTTTAATTGACCATTAACATTGCTTTGCATCTGACAGAAAATATTTTATTATGGAGTCCATAAAAATATTAATAAGATGAATTGGGAAGAATATATTGGCATTATAGTACATTAAACCATTAGCATTCGTGACACATAGGCTTTATAAATGGACGGGAAGACATTGCTTTTCTCTGAAGTCATTTAAATATCTGTGAGGTTATATTTTACAGGATGACATTGTCATTTCTTAATAAACATGTACCAGTCTACCATTTAAACAGTGAGTTGAGATAACTTGACATATTCCAAACAAATGTGGCAAAGTCAGATATTCACTACGACACGGGAGATAGCTTACTGTCACCAGCACATTCTTCTGATGGTCACATGGGCATTTTTACCCTCTCACCTAAAGTATCCTGGAAGAGCATTATACCACTGATAGTAAGATTTTATATTAGATCTTATATTAGATTCTATATCAGATTGCTTCTTTGAGAAGAGTATTTGTATTAAGTAAAATTAAAAAAATAATATCCACTTCTAATATCCACTTCTCCTCTCAAACACGTGTAGAGATCTCACTGAGGCTAGAGTGCCCCATAAGCTGAGATTTGGACCACAACCCCCCCTCCACCTCCCAGCAATGCCTATGGTTATATTCAATTGGTGTATTCTAGCCAACGTTTCTCAGTTCATAATTCACCATTACATGCTATTGAGTAAATAGACTTTGTGATTGTAGTCACCATCACTGGGAGCAGGATACTTTACAAAGGTTTCTAAGTTGTTCCTATTTCTAAGTCACCATGTACCCATTACAGGTGCAGTTTGTTTCTAATGTGTTTGTATATTGTAAATTGCTTTGTGTGCTGTCCTGTTCTTCTGATGCTTGTTACCAACTAAGTGGATTTGGCTATTGGAGTCTGTATAGCGCCCTCTGTTGGTAGCAGTACCTGAATAGCAAGGTTATTCATTTGCATTTTCAAAGCAAGCTTGATGTAATGAGCATATGGGCTAATCCCAAGAATAAAATGAAGTTGAATAGATTAGCTCCTGTTGGAACTGAGTGTTCTGTGTGGATTTTTAGGGATCCCAACCACAGAGTTGTCTTACCTGTTGGCTGGTTGCACGATACCTCTAGCACTGGGATAAAACAAGAGGGCTACGCTTGAGAGCCGAATACCTTTGTAAAGGCAATAGAAATCACATTGCAGGCAGAGGTTGATACCTGCCTGGAATTAGGGCTGCAACGGAATAGGCAGAGGGGACAGTACCTGCCTGGAAGAAGGGCTGCAGAGGTATAGGCAGAAGGGACAATACCTGCCTGGAAGGAGAGCTGCAGCCTGGTTGGGTGGGAAAACGTCATAAGGACCTCAGTCAAGCCTCGGCGACTGGGGTCTAAAGAGTTCCAGGGGCTAGTAAGCAGACTGGATGGAGGCAGGGGTGTACCTAGAGCATTTGGCACCCGGGGCGGGTCCTCATGTTGGCACCCCCACACACACTTTAAAACGTAAAAAACACCCGCAAATATTTTTGTTATTTATGTAGTATTGAACTGTGTTTGCATGATTCAATGTAAGCATGTTTTTGTATGGAGTATGTGTGAGTGAATGTAGGGGTGTGTTTGTATGTAGTGTTGGCATTTTAATGCAGGCATGCATTTGTGTGTAGTGTTTGCAACATGCAGTGGTGTGGTTATATATAATGGTGATGTTTTAATACAGAGGTATGTTTGTATGTAGTGTTTACCCTGGAATGCAGGGATGTATGTGTGCGTAGTGTTGGAAAGATGCTGAGATGTATGCAGATATATACACCCCTTTACACACACTGACACAAAGTCACACATATACACACATGCAGCAACACAGACACACATACAGATACACAATGCCATCCTCCTGTTTCCTACCTGCTGGCTGAAGCTGTTGGGAGTTGGGCTCTCTCCCAATCAGTGCCACCCTCTATCCTGTTCTTCTCATGTGACTGAATTTCACTTCCCCTCAGCGCTGCCATTACATTATTATAGAACCCTGGTCGCACTATTAAAGCACCGCAGCGCAGAACCTGCCCCCTGAAGCAGTGGTGACTCTAGGAACAATATGTAGGGAAGGCACATAAACTGGGGGGAGAGGGGAGCATTAATAATTTTCACTAGGGAATGGGGTAATGTGCTGCCATTGGCTGTCTGACAACAGCATGTTGTGCATGCTGGGATCAGACAACACATTTGCATCGAATTCACATTAGCCACCCAGATGTCTTGTTCAGGCTGAACATCCTCTTAACTTCAATCTTTGTTTATGAGATAACTCCCCTATTTGCTATCCTTATGTGGGATTGCCATATTCAAGCACGCCAAATAAATGAGCTATCTGCTGAATAGCACCCTAATTTGATATCTTTACTGTGTAGAGGTTAACACAGTTAGGGAGAATATTATGACAAGGCGGGGGTGTATATGACAGGGAGAGTATTGAGACAAGGTGGGGGTGTATATGCCAGGGATTATGTGGATTACGGATATATGGCAGGGAGGGTGGGCTATAATGGCAGGGAGGGTATTATGATTAGGTGGGGATTAGGGATATATGGCAGAGAGGGTGGGGTATAATGGCAGGGAGGGTATTATATGGCTATGAGGAGGTGGATGTCGCAGGATGAATTTACAATAGTATTATTAGCTTACCATTCAGGGGGTGCAGCAGGGGCTGTCTCTCACCAGCTCCATCCCAGCTCAGGGTCAGGCAGTGCAGCAGGTGCAAGCAGGGGATATAGAGAGCCTGACTATGATACCCTGCATGTTCAGAGTGGCCAGAATACTCTCTCTGCGCCGCCAGCTGGTACACTCCATTATAACCTCTGTGGTGCTCAGTGTGAGTCAGAACACAGGCTGGGAATCCCCTCCCTGTGCTCCGACTCACGGACTGAGCGCCAGAGTCATGAGGGAGAGATTATTATGGCTGAAGCAGCAGGAGGTACAGAGCGTGGCACCCCCCTACTGAGTCACTATCCGGGGTGGACCCCCAACCCCTCCTTACTTCCCACTTGACAGAGGTACATTTTTTGGAGTAAAGGTGCTCTGTCAGACTTGGTGGCAGCAGTGGGATGGCTTTATAGCATTAGGAATACATCCAGAACACCACTTGGACTTCTGCACATCTTCTGGGGAGGGATGGAACTAGCACCAGTGCAGCATCCTTGTCGGGAAAGGAGTTCCAGAGTAGAGTAATAGATGGGCTGGCTTTCTTAAGAGTCAACCCATCAGCAGAGGTGGTGCAACTGATCTGGGAGGAAGTGACCACAATTGGACCAGACAAGCATGGTATCCAGCAATGCTGACTCAGAGTTTGGTAAAATGATGAGGATGTTGCTGGCTTTCTATGGGCCCAACCCCACAGAGAAGACAATACGGCACACTATGGCTGTGGTGACTGATTACCTGCAAAAGAATGTAGAGGTGGAACGCATGATGGGGTTTTTGGGGATCTCCCCTACACAGCCGCAGGATGTTATGCAGGGAGAGGAGAGTAACATCCTCACTCCCCAGCGGCAGTTTGTAGAGGGGCAAAGGTTTAAAAATAATATCAGGAAGTATTACTTTACTGAGAGGGTAGTGGATGCATGGAATAGCCTTTCAGCTAAAATGGTAGAAATGAACACAGTGAGGGACTTTAAGCATGTGGATAGGCATAAGGCTAGCCTCGCTATCATAAGGTCAGGCAATAATGAGAGCATTTAGAAAATTGGGCAGACTAGATGGGCCGAATGGTTCTTTTCTGCCATCACAATCTATGTTTCCATGCCTGCATTTCAGTTTCATCTTCTGAGTGCTTTTCTCTCCCACATACCCAGTGTTCTTTTTTATACATATTACACTATTGTGATTTTTTTTCTCCTATATTTGGATTTATTAGGTATCAGAGATTTGTATATCAAAATATGTCAGATTGTATTTTACACTCTATGCACTTTTGTGTGTGTGTGTGTGTTTTATTTGCACCTGGAGTTCTCTTTTCTGGTATATAGTATTGTATATCTTTTGTGTGTTGATAAAATTGTCTCTGCTAGTCTGCCATCTTCACATGCATCATGCTGCCATCTCTTCCCCAAGTAAATGACACACACAAACCAGTCCATCCACCTGTTTTAAAAGAAAATGTGATTCATCAGACCAGGCAACTGTCTTCGGTTGCTCCATGGTCCAGTTATGATGCTCACATCATCATGGGCACTTTGACCAGTTTGCAGCTATATGCAGCAAACGGCGATGTACTGTGTGTTCCAATACCTTTCTATCATGGCCAGCATTAAGCTTGTTAGCAATTTGAGCTACAGTAGCTCTTTGTGTGATTGAACTAGACGGGCTAATCTTTGCTCCCTATGTGCATCAGTGAGCTTTGGGTGCCCATGAGCCTGACACCAATTCACCAGTTGTCCATTCTTGCACGAATTTTGGTAGGTACTAACCAGTGCATACACGTAACACCCCACAAGACATGACGTTTTGGAGATGCTCTGACCCAGTTGTCTAGCCATCACTACTCGGCCCTAGTCAAAGACACATAAATCTTTTTCACTTCCTAGATTTTTCCTGCTTCCAATGCATGGAATGAAAGACCTGACGTGTTACTTGCTGCCTCATATAATTGTAATGATATAATCAATGTTATTCACTTCACCTGTCAGTGAATTTAATGTTGTGTCTGATCAATGTAGCTTATAAAAGTTCACCTAAAAACAGGTTTTCATTTGGAACATGGACAGAAACTACATTTTATCTAATTTTGGATTAACTAATACTTTACAAGTATGTCTGGAAAACCCGAACTTCAGAATTGTATTGTTTTAATCCAATGGTAAATGTAAAATAAAATAAAATAATGTAAGAAACAGCAGCATATCCCCCAAAAATAGAAATTTATAAATATCAGTATTCCATAAATCAGTTTATAAATTCACTAAAATACTGACAAATGTAAAAAGGCTATGTTCACAAAGTCATGTATGTCACTGGTGAGTCAGTGAGTTGAAATTATAAGAAAGATAGCAGTGTAGTAAATGTGTGCTATCACTGTGTTCATCACATGCTCTTTTCTTGCATATAAGGATTGCATTTAGAATATACCATTTTCAGAACTGTTCTAGGAGGCTTACTTGCTAAGAACTTCATGTAATGTATATGTTCCTTTTTCAAGAATATGTCAGATCTGATCTAAAAGAAAATTTTAATTACGGAATTTACAATATTCATCTCGATAACCTAAAGTTGAGTCCATTGTGCAAGTGGGCGAGTAAGTTGTTAGCTTCCTTCATAACTATTCTATCACCTGTTGGCAACAAACAAAATAGTTTAACTTCTTAAATGTAGCTTTCAAAATCTTTAAGTAATTATCTGAAATAAAAACTATCACAAATTTTAAATAAAATGTTTTTTTCTTTTCTTTTCCTTTCCTTTGGTGTTCGCTATAAATGTTGGACATCTACCTTGGTTTAAATCCTCTTTTACCTGGTGTCACATCGAGAGGTAGTAATGGTTCACGGGTGTTGTTTGCAATTATTCACAGTGACATTAACACTGACCTTTGGCTTGCCAAGTATCTAAATAACAAGTCTCTAGATGGATAATGTTTCCCAACATATAGGCATTGCAGCAGGCGTTTCTTTAGAATTGGGATTCTACATCTTTAATACTTGCACAGCAGGACAATAACATCACCCATTGGGGATGAAAGGTAATCACAAGTTACAAAGTGTGTTACCTATCTGTGATGTTTTACATGTACTACTCAACACTCACACTGAAGGTAAAGCAAAGTCTCTGAGGATGTGTATGTGGGGCGCAAAACGCGTCAGCTGTTGATTTTTCTCTTTCTTTCCCTCTCTCTTTCTCTCAGATGAGTCTGCACCATTAATGAATAAATTATAAATAAACTAAGTTTTAACAAAAGATTTTGAGGCAACCTTTTTTCCCTGTTGGGAAAAGTATTTGTATCATGTTCTAAGAGTCTAGATCCTAAATGTAAGTTAGTTTGCCTACTCTTTGAATTCCTATAGGACTTACATGCAACCATGCAACCCTACTCTACAAATCCCAGCCCTAATCATTGACTGTTGTTTAATGCCTAGTCAGGTATATAATAACCTCGTCTTGCTACCTCCCTTTTATTATTTTGGTTCAGTGTCATCTTAGTGGAAAACAAATGTAAGTTGGTCTGTCTCCTAAAAGATATAAGCAAGTTTAAAATGTCCTTCTCTTCTTAAATATGATTCTGCTTATGTTGCCTATGGTGTATTGATACTAATAATAATAATAATAATTACAGATGGTTACTGCATTTACAGTTAGTCAGCTAAAGAATTATATAGAAACTTTATAAAGAGGATACAACATAACACAAATTGGTTTGTTCCTCATAGGCATCCTGGAAATCTGTTTCTTTGTACAAGCTTATTTTTCAGTTTTTCTTCTCGTTTTACAATGTTCTAATGAAAAATTTAGTTGCTTTGCAAATACAATTTTAATAAGCCTTTGTATTTAAGTATACCACATAAAGCCTCTTACACAATATTACTTGCATTAGACAGAAATAAGTTTATTAGGAAACATGTAAAAAAAAGATTAATCATAAAATATCTGACAATAATACAATTTGACATCACAGTCCAAAAATCTATCATTCTTTTGTGACATACAAGCCATAAAGCTAGGCACAAGCAGCCACTAAGATATTCAAATGGTTATATTTTATAGGGTTACATTGTTGCTCTGTAATACCGGCATTCATAATGTCTTTTGGCTTTTTCGAAAACTGTTTAGGCATTCTGTACAATTGGATCTTCTTACTCTTGCCATGCCTGCTTCAAAAAAAATATTCTTGCAGGTTCCATGAGATTGAAGAGGCAATGCCAAATATTTAGGGCTGACTTTACAGGAAGGTCTAAGGTGCAAAGATCAGTAACGGCACAATTTAATTTAACTCATCTCCATTAACAACTCCTTAATAATTATCACTAGTACAGTCTTTTTTTATGGTTTTGTAAATATTCTGACCAGAAGACAAACATTTATCAGCTTTTCCACGTAAGATTAAGCTAGAGACAACATAACATTCTCATTTCCATTTAGGTCATTGGCCATTTACATCTTCTCTACATATAGATGCTCCAGTTTTGTTAATATATAACACTTTTTTTTTTTATCAAAGAACACCTTTACCAGTAGTTCACTGGTAGCTCATAGAAACTTCTCTTTGCGAGGCATTCTAGCCAGTTGCCAAGTGCAGCCTACCACATTCCAGTCCTGAATATATCATTAGGGTAACTCTCAGCAAACCCTACACCAAATAGGACATTACAAAGTTAAAAGGGACACTATAGTCACCAAAACAATTTTTGCTTAATTAAGCAGTTTTTGTGAATAGATCATGCCTCTGAAGTCTTTTGTTATTCTTTATGCAGCTCTAGCTACACCTTCCCTGGCTCTGACTTACACAGCCTGCATTTTCAATCAAATGTTAACTTACTTTAAAAGTTTTTATCACATTTTCTGTAAATTGAACTTTTATTACACACAAGGTCTAGCAAGCTAGGAGATAAGTATTTCTAAACTAAACAGGCTGTGCAATAAAGGAAGTGTAAACATTAGATCTCTCATTACAGGAAGTGTGTTGGAAGGCTGTGTAAGTCACGTGCAGGAAGGTGTGACTAGGGCTACATAAACAAAGTGATTTGCCTCCTAAATATCAGAGAATTAAGTAGTGAGACTGGCATGATCTAAACAACAAAACTGCTTCATTAAGCTAAAGTTGCTTTGGTGACTAAAGCATCCCTTTAAAGCTAAAAGCTAAAACACAGCCATCATTGCAAAAGTAATAGTTAAAATTAAGAGTAATATATGAAATGTGCCCATAAATTACAACTTTTAACCTTCACTTTTTTTTTTTGCTTTCATTAGACATCGAAATTCATAAAAAATATATGACTTATAAAAAGCATGTATCACTGCTGTTTCTGAAAAGTACAGCCAGCTTACAAAACAGAATATTTACATACAAATTATTTTTTATTAAAGTGGAGATATTAAGCTTTCAAATGTGGATGATCACAGCAGAGCTATTGAAACAAAAAGCATTTTAGAACAATGAAAGGATTATTATGTCTGTTCAACCCTTGGGTCGCAGGTTCAAATCCCAGAAGGGTTGACTCAGCCCTTCATCCTTCCGAGGTAGATAAAATAAGTACCATTAAATTGGGTAATAGTAACAACCCCTGGTTGCTGGGCTAAGGTAACATCCCCAGGACGTACTTGAAACCAGAGTAATCTGAATGTGCCTTTCCTGGTTTTTAAAGAATTATGAGGTAGAGGTCTAAAGCAGGGTTGTCTAAATACTGCCCTCTAGAGGTTTTTAAATTCCAAGTCCCATAATTCTCTGACAGTTTATCTCATGTAATAAAAAGAAATTCAGGAGTTGTAGTTGGTCAACACCCGAAGGCTGGAATTTGACAACCCTGGTCTAATAAGCTTGCTGTGAGTAGAAAGCACATTTTGAAGGCTCAAAGTGTGCACTTTGTTATACTCTGTTTTATGTTTTGCATTTACATCTTAGACTGTGTTTTTAATACTAGCACAGAATATGACAGTAGAATAAGACATATTTATTCTAAGTATTTAAAAATCTTGTGATCCATGTCTTGTCTACAATGGATCACTGTATAACTTACGTTGGCCACCCTGCTGGAGTCAAAGCACAAAACAAAAACGATCCTTGTTTACTTGAGCACAAAGTACAAATATTCCCCTATAACCATTGTAGTTCTAACATACAATCAGCCATGGTAAACGTTTATAATAAAAAGGATAATGATTTTAAAAAGAAGAGAAGTGAGACATAGACAGGTTAGACACAAGTTATCTTACGACCTTGAGCTTTTGCATTTCATTTCAGGTGGGGAGATATATATTTCCATTAAAAAAAGCGTAACAACTGGATAAGAAAAATCAGATGATCTATCACTTGCTTTGATGGTCATGTTCCTTGGCATGATGTGCCTTTTTCTGGTAGGCCTCTAGAAAGGAAAACAAAGGCTTTCAAGTCAAATTAGCAATTTTTTGTTTTTTTTTCTGGCAAAGGTTTGTGTCTCCTTTAATATCACAATATAGAATAATGCATCTTTAGCTAAGTCAATGCATTCTATGCTTCAGAAAAACTGGAATAATAACTATAATTCTGGAATTATAGTTGCTAATAACTGGATTCAATTTGATTGCAGTGGGGGAGCCTAAACTAGATTGAGAAGAAAGAAGGATGTGAGGCACACATATGCTCTATCGCCAGACTTTACCAAAAACTGTCATAGCAGAACCTCTTGGCCAAACCTCTAGATATAGGGATTATGCGGCGTGAGTCCAGAAGTAAATTATATTTCTGCATCTAATGTTGTATTTTAATTAAAAAATGTATTTGCCAGTCGTAAAGTGTTTTTTTTAAATATTTTTTGTTTCATGTAATTATTTTTGTCAGAAACACAAGGACTCACCAATCACTATCGACTATTTGATTGTCCAATCCAACCTTGCAAGTATGATGCATCACCTTGCATTGACTACTTAAAGTTTTTATGTATGTCTGGAATTGTGAGATTGACATTCTTTTTTATGTTTTATTATATTGTCCATATCCTATTTGTTTTTCACTTACCTTGTTCACCTGACGTCTGGTGTCCAGTAACTCTGTAGGGAGTACAAAATGTTAAAATTAGTTTGCAATTTTGCCTAAAGACTTATAAGATCTTTTTATGTTTACCAAATATCAGTACCTTGCAAGATTACATGCAGGATCTGATTGTGAATCTGTAACAGGAGACTTAAAGGACCTCTACAGGAACCGAAAACACTTCCTCTCAATGAAGTGGTCTAGGTGCCACGTATCCCTCATCATAGCACTACAGCTGAAGACATTGCCACTCTGCAGGTACTCCACTGTTTCTATGAGATGGTCTCAAAGAGCCATTGCACTAGTCTCCCAATGGGAAAGCTTTGAATTGATCAAATTGTATTTTGTTGGTTTTTAGTCTAATTTGTCACATTAGATGGGCTTTATCAAACTGTTTGATAAAAAAAAAATATTTGACAAAGTCCATCTAATGTGGTGAAAAGCATAATACATTTTGCTGTATTTTTTTTTTATCATTTACATATTACTAATAAACTAGTTAATTTTTAACTCTCCAGGACCATCCTGCTTTCTTCCAGTCACCTGGACATCACATTCCTTCTTGGGGATCATACCACCTATGCTTTGAGGAATGAGCAAAAACCTATTTTTGCTCAAAGTTTATGAGTAAATTTTCAGCTATTTTATACACCTTTCCGGTTATGGTGGGCACTATATTGTATTTTTTTTTATCCACATACTGCCACAGGGAGTACCAGTATTACAATATATATGCAGGAGTGGGGATTGTGCCACTTCACGCTATCTGTTAGGAGCCATTTTCAGGTTCCAAAAATGTGAATGTATACACAATATTAGCCACACCAGTGACATTATATTGGTATCTATTCTGTTTATATTTCATAATGGATCAACCAAGAGATATACTTCACATCCTTAGGAGGGTTATTGTACCACCAAGGTCCGTACAAGTAGAGCTTACTGGTAGCTCTATGTATTGTAAGTGCATCTTCTCTTTTTCATTTTTAAGATAACATCAACCAACCTACTACACAACATATTTTCCTGTGTGCTAGTCTCATTTCATACTCGAATATCCCTGAGGAATTCCCTAGGCGTTGATCTCTTCATCCCTACTTTGACCGGAAAAGAGAGACTCTCGTTTGGATTGTTCCAACTACCTTTTCCTACCCACCTTGCAAGAGATAGAAACGTACCTCCTTGTTTTTTCACAAAACCACAACAGCCCACTGTACTAGTTGTGGTGCCAGGAGGGCACTAGCACTATGCCAGCGTAATGTGCCAGACCATTTTTTCATGGTGTGATACTTACCTGGGTCCTGTCATGCACCCATTCTGCATGTGGGCTTCAGAAACATTAACAACTGAATTCCTATATAAACATTGATTTTCCGAGTGTTCTCTCTCAGCCAATGAATAACTTATAAGTCCTTCTATTTAACTAAACTGACTTCTATTTTCCCCAGCTCTGAGAGGTAGCAAGGGGCATTCCTGGGACCATAACTAACCCAGCATGCTTTAGTGGTTATGGTACTTAGAGTGTTCCTGTATAGAAACAGGAACAGTTTTTTTCATGTAAATTCATTTTAAAGGAATACATCTAAGCCACCTCAAATTAAATCCAATGTGTTGTTTGAGCTGTAATTAAGTATGCTTGTTGCTTTGTACTGTTTTTAGTATTTACATTTTTTAAATAGTACATGTTTCCAATGTTGCTCCGCTAATACAATCATATTATTGTATTGACTTAAGTTTCCCGGAGTTGTAATTCATCTGTGCTACAGGAACATCATGATCAGCTCAATAGAGTTCACTGCATAAGCTGCAAATACTGGGGAGTGGCAACCAGTGTAGAAATTTCTAAAAATATATATTTTTTAAAATAACATTATTTTCAATTCATTGCCTTTGCTTATATTATTAATGCACAACCGGTATAAGGAATGAAAAAATATTTGCCAGATGTAACCTGTTCCTTTAAAGAGGAAGTGTCTGTTTTTAAAACCTAATTTTCTTTCTTTATGTTTTAAATTACATACTTTGCAAGGTAGACACAGTATGCAAATGATTAACTTCTAGAAAGAATTCAAAACACACATGTGCCGGTGTTATGTCTGAGCGTTTGTATGAGCCTCTGAAATGTGGAACAGTCGCAGACGTAAATAGATTTTTTTACTTACCTTCACTGTTCTATTCACCCCAATAGGTGCTGGAATGGCATTAACATTTGTGACGGAACAAGGAACTGTCTCTTCACTGGAAGTGACAGTACCTCATTATTTGTAAAAGGGAAAAGAACAAATAAAATCTCACGTAATGTCATGCCCATCCAACAAGCGTTTGTAAGTGGCAATTTCCATTTCCAGGTGCGTTTTCTGGTCCATGAGAATCTTGTAGTCATTGTTTTGGTGCTCAAGGTCAGAACGGATTTGGCCCAGTTCAGACTCTGCATCGTTGATAACACTCTGTAGTTGTTCCAACTTAGAGCCGAAAGTGTCTTGTATCTCTTCCAATGTACCCTCTAGAGCTGAGTTCTAGAATACAGACAGTATACATAATATCAGAAATATTGTAGTCACTATAAGAATAAAATATCACACAAAATATTACTAAAAAAAGTTACATTCCTTCAAATATTTGTACCTAGAACTATGGCTATATAGGGAATTGGAAATGTATGATAACGGTTTTCTATTCTGTTGTGTTCTCAAGATTCTATTTAGAGGGGGACTTTTGATCAGCAATGGAACATGGAGATTGTTGTTGGGAAGCACAAAGCACAAACATACTCAGTTCAATAGATAAAATATTGAGGGATTTTAATGGAATCCTAGTAGGAAAAGGGAGACACTTTTGATAAAATAGATCCCTTTTAAGACCTCATCTAGATAAGCATGTTGAGTTTCAGACAGATATAAATATACTAGAGCTAAATATTTATAGTGTAAATTAATTTAACTTTTAAAATTATCTCTGTAGAACTAATACAACAATTTTTGGATGGTAAGATATTCAAGAGTAACATCAGAGCATGCTTTTTCTTGCATATTTCACTGTAAATTAATAGTAAAAATGATAGTGAGTGATAATGGAAAGGTTCAAGAAACAAATTGGATAGACATATTGCTTTCTTAACCAGAAAGGATGTGTTTTCATATAGGTAATGGTGTGATTGGAAAGACCAATATTCTTTTGTCTTCAATATTTCTATGTAACATAACCTTCACACAACAAAACCTGAATCCCACACTGGTTTGCTAACCATACAAAAAGTGTGTCATTTTTTCACTAAGTGGACTGAAGCATTTATTCCAAGAAACATGCATCCCCTCCCACCACCAATAAATACCATGCTCATTTCACTCTGCAGTTCAATCTCCAGGGCCTGCATGTTTCGCTTCATTTCAATGATTTCCATTTCGAATGACTGCAACTGCTCAGATCCAGAGACCACCTCACGATTCAGTTCCTCACTCTAGCAGATACAAAGATAGATTATTACAATTACCTTCCCTCCCCCCAAAAAATAAAATAAACCAAATTAATGTTTGAAACCTGGTTACCCTTTGCCGGAACATTTCTTCAGCCTCTTTTAGATTTTGGTCCATCAGGTTTTCATATTCACCTCGGACCTCAGACAAGACAGTGTTCAGGTCAATAGATGGGGCAGCATTGACTTCTACATTGACCCTGGCTCCAAGCTGGCCAAGCAGATTGTCAATATCCTGAAGAACAACATTCATTATTATTAATCAGGATGAGCCATTCAGTCAGATAAAATGTCTGACCTTCAGCATATAGAGAAATAAACATATACATGAATAGTTTCCCAAAACAATAGAACAGAAGGTTTATCAATTGTACAGAACAAGTCAGGACTGACCCAAATACATTTAAAGTGCACAAGGCGCTTAAGACATATGCATATAAGATATTGACTGTCAAATGCGAGAAATGTAAAGTACCATACATCATAAGATAACATTACGGGGACATTCAAAGCACCATAACTACTACAAGATGCAGGACATTGCTTGAAAAAAAAGGTTCCCTGTTTTACTAAAGTCTCAGTCCACTTCAACTTCCACATATAATATCTATTATAGTCATATTTGTAATGCAGCAATAAACTGAACTCATCAGAAGACACGCTTGGTCAATTAATTCATGCAAATAAGGATGAAATTATTGAAAAACACTAAACAGAATTTGGACTTCTCCATTAGCAATTCCTGTGGAGACAGATATTTTTCATCAAACTGCTAGGAAATGGTATGACTCAGAATTGGGAGACAGAATTGGCAATCTAATAGCACAATAAACACTAGAATGGCATGTACTGGTTATGGTGCCTAGAATGCCTCTTTAAATGTTGTTCATGACTTTGGGTGGTTTCTAATTTTTAATTCACCCTATTAATGAATTAAAATGAAATGCCATCATATTACCTCTTCATTAGATGTCTTAACATCCTGCAGCTCTTCCTCAAGACTTTGGACATGTGTCTCAAACTCAGCTGTCTCCCCATTCAGTGCCTCAAGGACTCCTCCTAAATGATTGACATCTGTCATAGCACTCTCGCTAAACTGGAGCTCTATCTCATACCTTTGGGAGAGAAGATAACATTAACCAGCGCCATGCATACTTTATATGATTAAAAAAAACTGAATCTCTATATTTGTTAGGTTGTTCTGAATCCCTACTCACTGTAGTGGTTATGGTGCCAGGAGTGACTTGTGATGATGGAGAGTTGAAAGTTCTCTGCCAGAGCTAAGTCTCAGAGCAGGGTCTAGCTCATTGGCTTCTCAGCTAATAAGATAGCTCTGCATTTCTTAGGAGCTTCTGGTTTTCTGTCATCAATAATGGAGGAGAGGAGTAGCACCTAGCAGACCGCAGTTAAGGAGTCAAACCTTTCTAAAATCATTTGACTACTTACAAGAGGTGGGGGCAGTGACTTTCTTTGAGTGTTGGAAAATTCCTTTAAATCAGTACGTTTTTCTTTGCACCAGTAATCATTACTGTTTTCTGTTCATCTGTCTGACTATCTGTCCCTCCATCCACTTTTCTGTATGTCTATCTTTCCATATGTCCATTCTATCTATCTATCTATCTATCTATCTATCTATCTATCTATCTATTAATCTGTCTGTCTGTCACTCCATATCTCTGTCCGTCTGTCTATCTTAGCAGAAATGCTTCCTTTTATATAAAAATTCCTGTCTTTAACTTACTTGCCCTTGAAATCATCAGCGGCTAGTTTAGCATTACCCAGGGCTAGGATTAGACTGGAATTTTCCTTAGCAACTTCACCAATCTGAAAAACATGAAACCAACTTGAGATATTGCATGATAACAAATCTGCTACTTTTAGATTTTTTAAATCGATCGGAATCATAGAAAAGATACAGATTCATTGTCTAATGGTAAATCTTGTCTCTAACCGTTTGTCACCGACATTTTGGAATAAAGAAGATATTTTTGATGTGTAAACTCAATTTTAAAGGCTAAAGGGGGTTGAAGTAATGGTATCAGTGAAAAGATGACATATTAGTAGACTTGGCATGGCCAGAAAATGTATTTTGGTTGAACTATTGTTTCCAAAAATAAATACCAAATTTTATATTTATATTATCTATGTATTAAATATATAATTTATGAATATATTGAGAGATGATTTTAAAGTATTTTTCATTTTGCTATTCCTCCTCTTTTGCTTAGTTCTCACTTGATATGTAAATAAAATAAACCTATAGTTACCGTCCCCTATTCATCAATCTTCTTTATTTTTTGTTATCAAGCATCTCTCTTTTTTGGCACCATAGGTGGAATATACTATCACTAATCAAATGAAATGCTGGGTCATTCAATAGTTTCGTGATTTGGCTACATTTTGGCTCAGGGTTTGGGATTTTGACCTAACACCTGATCGTTCCAAATTTGGACGAATTGTAGTTCGGAACGTAAACAAACAAATATTAGGAATAGAGGATAGAGAATTAGTGATTGGGGTTAGGGGTATAAAGTTCGAAGATAGGTTACTGTATCAATTGGTAATAGTGCATTTATTGAGAATACTGATTACTGATATGATAATGCTAGGGATTAGAGATTAAAGTAATTTAATTTACAACTTTCACCAATCTGAATGCCAATATCACAGTGATGCCAGAACATCAGCACTGATATATCTGTAACCACTGTACTGTCATTTATTATACTTACCCCATCCCTCAACGTCTACCATTAATGTACTAGCTTACAGCTGGTTTATGTGTGATTTGGTTTTATTTTACCTTAATTATAAAAAGTATTTTTCACGTAAGGATACATAGTCAGGGATATTCACAAAACCATGAGTACTTTTTAAGTACTCACGTGGCAATTTTAAATCTGATGCAATAATAGCAAGGATGAAAATATATTGAACTTGAAGAATTTTAGCGTTCAGTTATTTTGACAATTTGCAAATCTCTGACAGAACAAACCACAGTTCAGTGAATATCCCTGTTAGGCTTCAATAGTTTAGTAATTTAATGGATATCATTAACACTGTAGCCATCAGGACTCCCTGGTAAATCTAATTGACCAGACCTGCCAGGCTTTTAAAAACAGACAAAAAAAACCCAAAAAACTAGATTTTTCTTTTGTTTGTTTTTAAGGTTAAAAAAATATCTTGAAATATAGTTAATTAATGCTGTTCTTCCAAATGGATTCTGAGTTTTGGAATGTAACATAATACTGCAGTAAATAAAAGTATCGATCCACATTTGTAATTTTTTAGTTAATGTTTTTTTTTTTTATCTCTCAGGTTTTTTTTTTTTTAATATAATATATTAATTCTTTATACCAATTCTTATGTTATTGTTACCTTACTCTGGAGCTCAGCAATGATTTTGAAATAATGAGTGCCATCGGGAGGCATTTGTGGGGTGTTATTTTCATACCATTCCGATATGTTCCTCTCCAACTTAGCATTTTTTTGCTCTAATGTGTGAACTGTACCCAGATATGTTGATAGCCGCTCATTTAGAACCTGCATTATTTGCTTCTCATTTGCACCCAAAAAATTATTAATTTTTGAAGTACTTTGGCCTGCATGGCTACTAGAATGACTCCCATGGCAATGACCACCATGTGAAAACCCAGAGCCATTCTTATGTTTTAAAGAAGAATATTTGGAAACTTCTTTACTAGCAGATCCACCATGGACACTGGTTTTGTGATTGCTTGTCTTACGGTGGTGACTTCTATAATGAGGCACATGGTGACTCATTTGATGAGACATGTGGTGTCCTCCATGATGGGCAATATAATGTCCTCCATGAGTGGACATTTGATGACCTCCATGATTAGACAGTTGATGACCTCTTTGATGGGCCATATAATGTATTCCATTGTGGGACGCATGCTGACCTCCATGATGGGACATGTGATGACCTCCATGATAGTCTCCTCCATGAGTTGGCATATGATGGCCCTCATGTCGGGACATGTGATCATCTCCATGATGGAACATATGATTGCCTCTATTATAGACCATTTCATGATCTGTATGATTGGATGAGTGTTGAACTCCATGGTGAGACATATGATTGGAATTGTTATGGTCTCCATAGTTGGTCATGTGATGGCTTCCATGATTAGATGTATGATGATTTCCATGGGGAAAAATATGCTCTGATCCATGATGAGACATGTGGTGGCCTCCATGATAAGACATGTGCTTGCCCGCATGATTTGGGATTTGGTGGCTTCCATGATGGGATATATGATGGCCTCCATGAGGTGTCATTTGGTGGCCTCCAAGGCAAGTTATGTATTTAGCCCCATGATGAGAAATTTGGTGGCCTCCAGACATATGTGAACCTCCATGTCTTGATATATGAGAGTCTTCAGTAGATGTGTGCTGAAGTCCTTGATATGGCATATGCGAGTTTCCATTATTGGATACAAGTTCTCTTGCGTTTTCACTAATATGGCTGCCGCCATTGTGAGATCCAGGGGAACAGTGACTGTGATCCATCATGTTGCTGCCCACTAGGTTTTTTTACGCTGGATACAAAAAAATACAGAGCAGCAAGAATCAATGCAGTTAAATTGACAAAAGAGAAATTAAATGTTTTTTTTTTCTGTTGTTTCTTATATATTAAGTAAAGTGGGAGTTGCATAATCTGTAACGTTTATGGGGACTTTACAGGCGTCTTGTGTTTTTCACATTTATCAGTCATTTTCTTAAAGTCAGTCTCTTTTAATAACACCCTTCTCATTTGGAAGTTAATACACACCTACAACAAAAGAATAAAACAATCTACTACATTTCATAAAAAATGTTCACACCAACAAGGAGAATTGTCACTTTACAAATACACAAAAACAGCTTAGGAGGAGATAGTTACACATTTACTATTGAAAAAAACCCTAGCAATTTACATTCTCGTAATTGTACAATAATCAGAACAAGAATTAGAATGACTGCTGTTTAAGTATACGGCAATATTACACATTTGTTTTTATAGTTCTTTCTATTTTCTGTTTAGTAGCTGTAACCCTCTTTTTTCACAAGGCAAAAAATAAACATAGATGAAAGGTAAGGACAATCAGACTTAATGGGAAAGATTTCTCACAATGTCATCAATGTCATCAACATGTTTACATCTATTTTTTTGCAAATATTTGTTGTCACTTATTAAATACGTTGGCTTTTTTTCATGTGATGTTTCTTTTGCACCCTATCAGATGGGATTTTTTTTTCAGCTAAATTAATTTAGCAATATTTCTGCAAGCTGACAACTGATAGCAATTAATTATCTCCTACCTGATATATTGTTAGAGACGTCAAAAACAAACTAAAATATAATAAATAATTAGAGAATTTTGCATGAGTGTATGTCTTTGTTTAGTGTAATGTAGTACAGATTCAGTGTAACATATTTATCTTGTCTAATTGTTTTAAATGAGTCAAAATGTCCACAAAGTTTTTTATTATAAAGGGCCACATTAAAGGGACTAACTGACAACCAGTCCTGTTACTTTCTGCCTCATGATGCAAGTAAGACCCTGAGAAGACAGGCCAAAGGCTAGCCAAGAGAAAGGGACATGTGTGAGTTAGGCGAGGGTAGATTCAGGGCAGCAGAGGTCTTGAGTGAGCAACAGGGGTTGAGCCCTGTGTAAGGGCTGGAATGATTGGCAAGGGTGTTGAGTTGGTAATGTTTAAATAATGGTTACATTATGTTAACATGATATGCAGTAACCATTTTAATAAACTAATGTTATTTATTGATATTAATAAAGCTGTGGCCTGTTGGTCACCATCAATGTATTGCGTCTGTTTATTAAAAGACCACTATAGGCACCCAGACCACTTCAGCTTATCGAAGTGATCTGGGTGCCGGGTCCAGCTAGGTTTAACCCTTTTTGCAGTAAACATAGCAGTTTCAGAGAAACTGCTATGTTTACCTATGGGTTAATCCAGCCTCTAGTGGCTGTCTAATTGACAGCCGCTAGAGGCGCGTCCGCGCTTCTCACTATGATTTTCACAGTAAAAAGACGCCAGTGTCCATAGGAAAGCATTGAGAATGCTTTCCTATGGACTAGCTGAATGTGCGTGACGCTCTTCCCGCGCATGCGCATTCAGCCGATGACGGAAGAAGAGGGAGGAGAGTCCCAGCGCCAAAGGGAGCCTGGCGCTGGAAAAAAGGTAAGGGATTAACCTCTTCCTCCCCCTTCAGCGCCACGGGAGTGGGACCCTGAGGGTGGGGGCACCCTCAGGGCACTATAGTACCAGAGAAACGAGTATGTTTTCCTGGCACTATAGTGGTCCTTTAAGGTAAGCTAATATATGGGTGTGTAAACATCTACATGGTCCCCACTACCTTCACACAAGTAGTATGCAACTCATTTCTTTTTTAAGTTAAATTTTAATATTTAATGTTTACTCCAGTGACAAATACAGAATATAAACAAATGATGTTATGGACATAGTAATGGCATAGTAATTGTTACTGTAATCTCTGTTAAAGTAACAATATATATAATTAACGTGATGACAAAATATAAGCAATAGTCTGTGTTTGAGGAACACCTCACATAAAACCAATTTCCTATATACTTTTATCCAAACAGCACCACCCTTTTTTCACAGTTTATACAAAGATAATTAATAAGTATTTATGTCTTGTATAAACAAATAATGGAGCAGTAGTGATGACACAGTAATCTCTTATTGATAATTAGATTTATAGTAAAGTATAGTAGGTATACTGACGTGTAAGACCAGTAACATAGAAACATGAGAAATTGCCAACAATAACAGAGAGTAAGATACAATAAATATGGGACAAAATTAGTGTAGTAGGTCTAGAAACACCAAAATAAATATCAACCAAAATAAAATGTCCAAAAAGTATGAGGATATATGTTATGTCTGAAACCATATGTAATTAACCACAGATGATAATATGTGAGACCAGCATCAAATATGTACAAAAATAGTAATAATTAGGGATGTCAACATCATAAATGTTAATAATAAATGTTGTGAAATAGTCTGGAGTAGAGTTGAGCGGACACCTGGATGTTCGGGTCTGGTGGGTTCGGCCGAACTTTGATAAAAAGTCCGGGTTCGGTGTAGGTGGAAGCAGAGGTGGAGGATGAGGATGAAGTAGCCAACACTGTTTTTTATGTTTTTTTTTTTTTTTTTATTGTGTAGCCCACAAAATATTGCGACATACAAAAAAAGAAACATTTGCGGCCTGCGGTGCATTTCTTGCAGTCCTGATGCATGGAGAAAAGGCCTTCACAAGCCTCTGCTAATGTGTACATAGTTTATACTAAATGACCCATCGGTTGAGGAGGCGGTGACTGTGGCGGTTTAGGTGGAAGCAGCGGTGGAGGAGGAGGATGAGGTAGCCAACACTGTATATATATATATATTTATATATATATATATATATATTTATTTTTAATTGGGATAGCCCCCAAAATATTGAGAAATATAAAAAAAGACAACTCTGTTCCGCAGATTAGCTGTTGACATTATAGTTTCACAGGCACTTTGTTGACTCTAGAGAACGTCACGCCAATCGCACATCCCTGTGACGGCGACTTTGCATTTGGATATCATCCATTTCAACGTTCGATGCAAGTTTCTGCGCCTACTATGGTGACCACGGGTAACGGGGAATCAGGGTTCCATTCCGTACAGCGACCCTGAGAAACGGCTACCACATGCGAAGAAGGCAGCAGGTGCACAAATGACCCACTCCCGACACGGGAAGGTAGTGACGACAAATAACAATACAGGACTCTTTAGATCAGTCTGGTGATGGCTTCTGGTATCCAGTACTCTTTTTATTGAAGCTGTATCAGGGTCCTGGTATGTGGCCGCACAAACGCTGGTGCTCAACACTAGGGGTGTGCGGTAACCCTGCACCAGACCCTGCTAATCCATTCCACACTGTGACTCCTAACTTCAACATCAGGCATACTGGGTCCCGGTCGTCCGACCGCCACGCAGACAGTGTCTGGGTCCTGGTCACCGGACTGCCCACCTGACTACGAATGGATCGTTAAATCTGGTACGAACCCAAACTTTGCAGTTCGGGTTCGCTCAACTCTATTATGGATCCTTTGATCACATGTACATGTGTTACTTGGATAACTGGTAATTCTCGAGCTAATACATGCCGACGAGCGCTAGGGGACGGCCGCTCCGCTTTTGCACCCTGCTCCCTCTTATGCTGTGCTGGTGCCTCTGTGCGACCAGTGCCTCTTCCTCCAAACTGCACACATCACTCGCATGACCTTGATTCCATGTGGGGTCTAGGACCTCATCATCCTCCACATCATCTTCCACCCACTCCTCAACCCTTCCCTCCTTGCCGGTATGCACACTGCAGAAAGCCACAGCAGTTGGCACCTGTGTTTTTCCATACAAAAGTCTGTAAAGTCTGTAAAGGACATATGGAAATTGTTTTAGAATTGTATCCAGGCAACAGTTTTCCCTATAAACTGACCTCTCAGTTTGACTTGTGAGGGTATTGCCCCAGAATTACAATATTGTTTAAGTACCTCTTAGCTATTGCTCTGTAACTGCAGTGTTTGACTCTTCTATTTGACTCTCAGATATGAAGTGCACGCCCCAAAATGTACTATTTAGCAGATTAGCACCCAGAAAATAAGAATGTTTACCACTGTGCTGTAAGCACACAATTAGACGCTTCTATTTGACTCTCAGATATGAAGTGCACGCCCCAAAATTTACTATTTAGCAGATTAGCACCCAGAAAATAAGAATGTTACCACTGCGCTGTAAGCACACTGTTAGACGCTTCTATTTGACTCTCAGATATGAAGTGCACGCCCCAAAATGTACTATTTAGCAGATTAGCACCCAGAAAATAAGAATGTTAACCACTGCGCTGTAAGCACACTATTAGATTCTTCTATTTGACTCTCAGATATGAATGCACGCCCCAAAATGTACTATTTAGCAGATTAGCACCCAGAAAATAAGAATGTTTACCACTGTGCTGTAAGCACACTATTAGACGCTTCTATTTGACTCTCAGATATGAAGTGCACCCCACTAAAATACTATTTAGCAGTTTAGCACCCAGAAAATAAGAATGTTTACCACTGCGCTGTAAGCACACTGTTAGACGCTTCTATTTGACTCTCAGATATGAAGTGCACGCCCCAAAATGTACTATTTAGCAGATTAGCACCCAGAAAATAAGAATGTTAACCACTGCGCTGTAAGCACACTATTATACGCTTCTATTTGACTCTCAGATATGAAGTGCACCCCACTAAAATACTATTTAGCAGTTTAGCACCCAAAAACATTTAAGTTTTAAAACTGCAATGTGACAGCAGTATTTGACGCTTCTATTTGAATCTCAGATATGAAGAGCACGCCCAAAATGTACTATTTAGCAGTTTAGCAGCAAAACAATTAGAATGTTTACAATTGCTCTGTAACCGCAGTATTTGACTCTTCTATTTGAATCTCAGATATGAAGAGCACGCCTAAAATGATCTATTTAGCAGATTAGCACCCAGAAAATTAGAATTTTTACAATTGCACTGTAAGCACACTATTAGACTCTTCGATTTGACTCTCAGATATGAAATGCACCCACTAAAATACTATTTAGCAGTTTAGCACCCAAAAAAATTTAAGTGCAGGCCGCAAAATGCAAAATGCACTATTTAGCAGATTAGCACCCAGAAAATTCAAATTTTTACAACTGTGCTGTAAGCACACTATTAGATGCTTCTATTTGACTCTCAGATATGAAGTACACACCCCAAAATGTACTATTTAGCAGATTAGCAGCAAAACAATTAGAATGTTTACCACTGCGCTGTAAGCACACTATTAGGGGTTGGTCTACTAAAGTAGGCAGCCATTTTGGATAGAGCACATTTAATTTCTTACCTGGCTGAGTTTGTCCAACCCACCCTCCCTGGGTTTTTGAGATAAGTGATGGTATCCCGTTTTGTCACAGCGGCGGGATAGGGAGCCGAGGAAGAGGAAATAGGCTCCCCTGAGGAACGTCATGGACATGGAAATTGTGGTCACTGGCGGTTGGTAGGTTTTGAGTCCTGGAGGTGGCTCAGAACCTGGTGGGGTAGGGGTATCCGGGTATACCCCTGCCGTGGTTATTTATGGTTGGCACTTAAATTGTTATGTTGGAGTAAGGTTGCAAATTGTTAAAGATATATATATGTGTTAGTATGTTGGGGTCATTGCCCGTTATATTAAAAGAAGGATGCGGATGCGAGGGCGGAGTATGGGGGCAATGACCCATATTTATATGTTAAATTATTATTATATTGTTATGATTGTTATTACTAATGATAAACTTATTATATTTATTTATATAATGGTTAATAAAAGCTGTGGACAATTTTACCCATATACCCTAGTGTCAGTGTGTTATTGGGTTAGGTATGTGGGTGTTTTGTCCTAGGTTCCGACTGCCCATATGGCGACTATACACCGGTCATGGCTGTGATGGCTTCTAAGGGCACACGTGTCAAACGTTTGTTGATTGGCTGCCCTGCAACCTTTGAAAACGCGCCATTAAATCGACGAACACCAAACTCCAACCCAAACATACAGTGATATGTCCGTGTTTGGGTCCGGGGTCCAAAAAACGTTTTGTTCGGTACGAACCCAAACTTTACAGTTCCGGTTCGCTCAACTCTAGTCTGGAGAGTAAATAGTTGGACTAGAAGAAATTATCAAATTCACTATTCAATCCACTGGGCTGTAAGGTGTCTAAGGTGCAAATTTAAAATGTCTTTTTTTTAAGGGGTGCCTTTTTTCTATCCCACTCTTGCGTAAAGATTCCACTGAGTCAATATTTTAAAATGGAATTTGAGAGATTATATGGCCAAATTTGGCAAAATGTTCAGGTATGGGTAGGTAAAGTTTTTTTGGTGCCTATCGTGAATTATGTTGATTAAGACGATTCTTCATATGCACAGTAGTCGACCTATGTAGATGAGACACCAAGGTCACTTTAGTAAGTAAATTACATAAGGAGAGTTGCACGTGTAGTATTTGTTTATTTTGAAGATCGAGAGTGGGTAGATGTGTCACTCTTAACAGTGGCCTACTAAGGGGGAGGCGGGGGGGGGCGGTCGGCCCCGGGTGCCATCAGGCAGGGGGGTGCCACCAGGACTGACCAGGCTTGGGAGTCAGTGAGCTGTGTGGCTGCACCGGGCGCCATAGCAGCAGGGGCGCCGGGCAGCCGACACAGCTCACACACGCAGGAGCTTGGAGCAAGCAGGAGACCTGGCTCAGCTGGCTGCACGGAGAGTTGGGGTGGAGCTAGAATTACTGTGGGGGCGGAGCCAAGCCAGATGTGGGGGTGGAGCTAAATGCAGCCTCTTTCTAATCACACAGAGGGGATGCAGGAAGGAGTCCCTGCTTCCCCAACTACAGCACAACAGGCACTGAATGAATCCATTCCTCCTCCAGCCCAAGCTTACTGTAAGTGAGAGTGTGTGTTGTGTGTAACTGTGATTGTGACTGTCTTTGACTGTGTGTGTAAGTGTGTGACTATCTGTGACTGTGTGAGTGACTGTCTGCCTGTGATTGTCTGAGTGACTCTGTGTGTGTGACTGTCTGTCTGTGACTGTGTGTGTGTGTGTGTGTGTGTGTGTGACTGTCTGTCTGTGACTGTATGTGTGTATGTGTGACTGTCTGCCTGTAATTGTCTGAGTGACTCTGTGTATGTGTGTGACTGTCTGTGACTGTGTGTGTGTGTGTTTGTATGTATGTGTGACTGTCTGCCTGTGATTTTCTTAGTGACTCTGTGTGTGTGTGTGACTGTCTGTCTGTGACTGTATGTGTGTATGTGTGACTGTCTGCCTGTAATTGTCTGAGTGACTCTGTGTGTGTGTGTGTGACTGTCTGTGACTGTGTGTGTGTGTATGTGTGACTGTCTGCCTGTGATTGTCTGAGTGACTGTGTGTGTGTGTGTGACTGTCTGTCTGTGACTGTGTGTGTGTGTGCGTCTGACTGTCTGTCTGTGACTGTGTGTGTGTGTGTATGTGTGACTGTCTGCCTGTAATTGTCTGAGTGACTCTGTGTGTGTGTGTGTGTGTGTGACTGTCTGTGACTCTGTGTGTGTGTATGTACATGTGACTGTCTGCCTGTGATTGTCTGAGTGACTCTGTGTGTGTGTGTGACTGTATGTGACTGTGTGTGTGTGTATGTGTGACTGTGTGACTGCCTGCCTATGATTGTGTTTGTGTATATATGTGATTATGTGAGTGATTGTGTGTCTCTCTGTGTATGTGTTTAGTAGATAGCTCCCTTATTTGGTGACTGTCTGTGACTGTGTGTGCGACTGTCTGCCTGTCTGTGACTGTGTGTGCGACTGTCTGCCTGTGTGTGTGTGTGTGAGAGAGACCGTCTGCCTGTGATGGTGTGTGTGTGTGACTGTCTGCCTGTGATTGTGTATGTGTGTGTGTGTGTGTGACTGTCTGCCTGTGATTGCATGTGTGTCTGTGACTGTGTGTGTATCTGACTGTCTGCCTGTGTGTGTGTGTGTGTGTGTGTGTGAGAGAGAGACTGTCTGCCTGTGATGGTGTGTGTGTGTGTGTGTGACTGTCTGCCTGTGATGGTGTGTGTGTGTGACTGTCTGCCTGTGATTGTGTGTGTGTGTTTGTGTGTGACTGTCTGCTTGTGATTGTGTGTGACTGTCTGTGACTGCGTGTGTATGTGTGACTGCCTGCCTGGGATTGTGTGTGTGTATGTGACTGTCTGCCT